AATACAATGACCTATAATCTATATGACTGTATTCTGAGCATATACCTTTGACCTTCTGGGAATTGTAATACAAGGTGTGCCATGAAGACTTTGTAAATGGAGCTCATTCATTCCAAAAAAAAATTGTATTTGGGTTATCCCACCAGATTATGATATGTGTATGGTTTGTGCTCTGTAACTCCTTTCTATATGGGTCTATGTACTTCCCTTCTTATAATGTCTCTCTGCTTCACATTTATAGCTGAACAAGTCATTTCATAATAAACCAAAGACTCCTTTAGAGAGTTATACATTTTATTAGGGACGGATTTACAGCAACAGTTAAAGTAACTGTGCAACAGACATGGAAGCATTATAATACAATAGAACAAATTAGTATTTACAGAATTATCATCACATATATACAATGGACACATTATGTCACCATTTAAACTGATTCATGGATTTATTTAGCCGGAGCCTGGAAGCAGAATTGTATGAAATAAAACGGGTGTAGATGGAGTGTGCATTTAGTCCTCTGTAATGGAAACGTGAACCTTTGTTAGCGTGTTTCATTTAAGAAAAGCTAGCTAATTAAAATTATTTCGATGGAGAATAGGGTGGTAAACTATTTTTACATTCCCCTCATTACATTCTGCAGTTTTTCCTGAAGTGCTGATGAATAACCTGTACATATTCTTCAGCTTGTATACAATGAGTGTGTACAACGTATTTACAAAGCATTCTTGAAGCCATTTTTAGCTCCAGCTTGGGGATGTAAAACACAGATCCTAATGGCAGTGCTACATGTCACTTTAAGCAAGCTACTAGAAATCTTTCAGTCATTTTCAAAAGGTTGCTAGTTGCTGGTTTTAAAAAGCTGGTTAAAATGACACTAAACTATCTTAAAAATGCATTCAAGTACCCTAAGGATTAACAAAAATGTATCTTATTTCTGTATCACTCGGCTGTAGATCCTCAAATCATCTCTGAATTGGTGCTGACACTGTCCTTCCTTCTGGAGGGTGGCTACTGTTGTTCCCCATGGTCCCTGTGTGTGTTGTAAAGGAGCCACCGCTCCAAGCTTGCTCCTGTGATGGACTTCAGTCTCATGTTTAGTTTACTCATTTGTACTGAGATTGTAGTCCATCACAGGAGTGAGCTTGGAGAGTTGACTACTTTACAACACACACAGGGACCATGGGGAACAAAAGTAGCCACCCTCCAGAAGGAAGGACAGTGTCAGCAAATTCAGAGATGATTTGAGGATATACAGCCGAGTGCTGATACATTTTTGTTAATAGTTTATGTACTTGAATTAATTTTTAAGATTTAACTTCTGAGTTTGGCGTCATCTAAACGTGAAAGCCAGCCCTCCCCTTAACATCTGTTTAACATTCCTAAACTGGAGAACAAGGCTGCTTTATAAAGCTAAAGCTTATTACATATTGGCAAGGGGCTTGGAGGTCCTGCGCCGATGGGCTTCTATATTTTGGGTGAAGTAAATTTGATAGGTATAGGTATTAAATAAGCTGCTTTTTCTCATTGATTTAGGTTGTTGCGGCAGGGAGATATGTTAAATACAACAGATGATACGAGTATATAAGTGTAATAGATACTCAGAAACCAGTAAATTTAAAACTAGGCCAAAGTACAGTTAGTATGGAAAACAATGTTTCTATGAAACAAACAGCTGACATGAAAAACAACTAGGTCCTGTTATTGATGTAACTTTATTTGTAGAGAATTATGAGGGAAATATCTAAACAATTTTACCTATAAAAAAAAAAAAAGTTAACCATCCATTTGAGCTTTCAGCGATCCCAGAGACAGATGACAATCAACCAATATGAGGGAAGAACAGAGGTCACCAGCACTCCCAAGATCATGATCATTACACCTTTATTGACCAAACAGCAATGTCACTATTTTGCCTGATAACAGGGAATCCGTGTGGCCCGGAGACGTCGCTGTTATGTGATAACCTGAGTTCACATCAATAAAGGCGTATTGATCAGAATCTTATTAGGCAGTTTTTTTTTTTCAAGATCTTGAGTGCCGGTGACCTCTGTTCCTCTTGCACTGAGTGGCCCTATCTGTTTGCCACTGCTGCACCTACAAACATTTGGGTACTTGTTGGTCAGAAGTGTGATGGGCTTTGAACACTGAACCAATATGGCAGGACACTGAACGCATGTCTATATGAGGTTTGGCTTCGTTGCTTGGAATTGCTCCTCCAGTAATAAGGCAGCACATCACTCTACTGCTTTCTCCTCTCCAGAGAGGTTAACTGCAATCTCGGTGGAGCTGAACTTGGACTTTTATACCCCCTCTACGGTTCCCTTACCTTCAGGGCTAAAGTCTTAGAAGTCCGCTTAGGCCAGCCATACACAACATTTTTGGGACGATTTAAGAAAATATTCAGTACACAAAACCACAAAAGATGCTAGGTACATATGTACCCCTCATGAGGAACACTCACAGGCTGCCCCAAACCAGAATTGGGCTCTTGCAGCCAGACCCCGCACATAGCTAGGGACCTGCATGTGCTCTATGGCTGAGCTGGGGAGACTACAGGGATCTATATTATTCAGCCTGTTGCCCAGCTGTTGATTGAAAGTTTGAAAAACAGATGAAGGAAAAATAAGAAATTCCTGCACAAAGAAAAGAGAACTAAGATTCCCAGCAGGGAGCTTGGGTCCCAACTCTTTGACACTAGGCAAAAAACTGAGCTATCCTGGGCTGTTTGGCAACCATCAGGGACCGCCCCCTAGGCTGAGCTTTTGTGCCTAGTGTCTTACTCCTGAAGGTGGCGCTACAACCCAGTTGGTCATGATCTGAAGATCCCCACTGTGTCCTTCAATGAACGACAGGGAAATCATCAATTAGCTGAATGGAAGTTTTACGTCAATTACATTGCAGCTTGCTGGAAATCTTTCCTCCACAGACTATGATTTTTAAGAGCAGCTATATACTGTAAGAGATGATCATTTAGCAAGACAATTAGAGTCTAAAAGAGACTACGGTTCCAACTGAATACCACCTGAAATAAAGATTGATCACCCCAAAATTATACAAGCCGCATAAAAGCATTTTGTTTTACCAGTGAATGCTGCCATGTTTTTTCTGCTATTGTGCAGCCATACACAAGCGACTACAGCAAGCTTAAAGTTCGACCTAATATAATCTTTAAAAAAATATAAAAAAATTAAAAAAAAATCTACTCACAAGAAACTCTAAAAAAAAATACAAATCCCTTTTAAAGATAAGTATAAGTGCTGTACCAGAAATAATGTCTGCTACAACAGTCCCTCACCTCCACCCTAACCGACAAGAAATAGTAATCATGCTACAAGTAGCAATCATGTTGTCGCCAAGAATATAGTCCACTTTAGAAACTGTCACTAGTGCCTAGTGCACTGATATGCTGAGGTCTCTTGTCCATCTGTCAATGGGTGGTGTGCTCACAATGCCAGAGAAGGAGCTTTGTCTTTTCCACGGGGGCTAAAAAGGCAAATGGTAAATCTCATACACATGTAGGCAGATCACTTTTTTTTTTGAGAAGTGAACACTACTCTGCCCTTTCGGACATAAAAAAAAGACTATTAATCGGCTGAGGCTGGTGAATAAGCGTGTTGACTAAAAACTGGTTACATGCATATAATGATCAGCATCAGTCTTGCTTATGAAAGTATTGCTATATAATGAAGAATAATGAATGAACGAACATAAAAAATAGACAAACATTACAACAACTCTGCATTAGCACCTTCACACCAAGACGAATCAGTCCAGTGTAAGTGCAGAGAGGTAATAGACAACAAAAACAGACAAGGGAGAGTGTCCATGAGCTGACAAATAATAGAACATGTGAAGGACACCTTACCGTGCTAAAATTACATTCCAGTAGTAGCTCATTGAAATATAATATAAGCTCCAGCTAAATAAATCACATTAACTAAGAATTAAGAAAGTGCCTGTACTTAAATAACATGAGTACACAAAAACAATGCTCAAACACTTTGGATTGGACAAATCAACACTGTGGTTGGGTATACAATCAATTAGTACATTAGTGCAATACAAGTGAAGCCTGTCAGTTGCCCCAAGGGCCACTTAATCTTCGTCAGTTTGTGTTATTGTTGAGCTCAACCAACAAGATTGTAAAAGGGAAGGACAGGCCTTACTTTAGAATCATATTCCAGTCATTGGATTTTTGTAGCAGTAGGGTTATGACAGAGCTAAGCAACCTATGGCTAGAGTTGTGCTGAAAAGCTGCTTTGAGGAACAGTCAACCAAATAGATAAACTGAGAGCAACCAAGATAAAGACCAGGACCACGTGAGGTAAAGTCACCAGGATATTTCAACTACATAGGTGGGCTCCTGTGCACTTTCTGCACTGCCCATTTCAATATGAGGATTTTCATACCATAACAGGAACATTTGAGGGTTTTTTTTTAGCTCATGTGACTGTTATAGAAGCGTAATAATATTGAACAATTAAGGTTTTGTCGTATAGGCCACAACAGCAACAGAGGCTGAGGGCCAAATTCTACAAATGTGACTTTCAGGACTGTCACTCTGTCAATCTTGCCACTGAGCAGGCTGTTGGAGGTGGAGGGCCTGGTTGCTTCCGCGACCCTTTAATAAATGAGACACTTAATTTACTCTTATGTTGGCACAGGAAACAGTAATGCAAACCAGCCTACAGATCAGTGCTGCCATTTGTAAAGAACAGTGCTGCCACTGTTCTTTACAATCTGACCCCTCAACCTATGGAAATCAGAGGTGCCTTTTATTATTGAGAAAATATATTAATTCTATTAGAGTGAGGCATAGACAGCAACAACAGGACAAATAAGCCAAACACTACAGCTAATCGTGGCCAACATGCCCAGCTTTGTGATGTTCAGCAAGTCTGGGCTCCATTCCAAAACGAGCATGTACTCTATATTGACTTGTACCTGGAAAACATGAAGTGTAAGGTCCTATAGATGAAATGGAGGTACAAATATGCATTACCGGCAAGGAGAGGACTCGATTTTGGAATAAATGTAGGAGATGAACTGTAACCAGCAGAAGTATTTTGGTTGAACTGGCATGGTATCTGTACGAGTTCTGCTGCAGAACCCCAAGCAGCTGTGGAATGTGGCATCCAATACTGGTTCTGGGAATAAAGGTGCATTTGGGTCTTCTACTTCAGTCCCTTCCTCTCTATTCAACAAAGTCAGTCTTTCTCTCCTGTATCGTCTCCTCCTCTTCAGCTTCAGAGTTGTATGATTCAAGGCTTTGTCTGGCCATTTGATCTCTCCTTGCCCGTAAGCGTTCACACTTTGGGCAGTGATCAGAGCAGAAGCAGCCTTTGTGATAGCAGGCTTTACATTCTGTGGGTGGGAAAGAAAAAAAATCGGGAATAAGACATACATTGCTGCTGGCACAATCGAGTTAAGAAGAAAATCTGAATCCTACATGCAGCTTGTTTTCACTCCTGCCATTATCTGTCTGCATTGAAGTCTGCTTGGGAGGCAACCACTAACTAAAACTCAAGCCACACTTGAAACCAGTCGTAGTAAAAGGATAATGCAACAGATGCCATGCATGCTGAAGTAAATATTAGGTTTTGTGGGGCTCACGGTCTTGATTTTGCAGGAGAGAGTGGGTAATGTAAAAAAATATAAACAATGGAGTGATTCTTCACATTCCTGTTTGCCCAAAAATATTCCACCAACACACGATTTACATATTTATTTTTCATCAAGCATTCTCACCCCTTTTACATACAATGTTTAATCACTGTGAAAGATCACCTTACCACAAGTTCCTAACGTAATCCTGGATTGTAATTTGTACTTAAAATCTGAATGCTACTTTAAACCGTCCAAAAATCATAATCCCTACAAAAACATTAGGTTTATATGGAAATACCTGTGATCTTGACAGGGATTTCCACTTGCTTATTAGCAATGGCAACAATTTGCAGGCTCATCTACCCACTGCAGCACTGCCACCCCTTGTGCAAATGATCCAGAATTAGAACAAAAAGGCCATGTCTACAGCTTACTCTACTCTGCCCTCTGATCTGAATGGCCTGGGGGGAAAGGGTGGGGTGGGCAGTACGTCTGCCCTGCCATGAATTGCAATGGTAGAAATAGCCACTGTCAAATACTCTTACTGATCCCGTCAGGCAGGGTAGAGGCACCTGGGAGCCTGATGGGGAGTGTAAGAATATTTAATTGACCTCCAGCCCTCCAAGCTGTGGGGACAAGAGGGGACTGAGTGGTCAGGTGACGATAGATAAAAAGACTTAAGTAATCGTAAAGGTTTTTTATCATTGAAAATGGGGCGTTTTTATTGGTTTTAGTGGGTTAACATTTACATACACCAAGTCTAAAATCAAACCTCTGTATCTGATGAATGAAGTTAGTTTGCTGTGGAACATACCTTCACATCTCCGGCATTTAGACAACTCAAACGGAAAGATGACCTCATCGCTCTGACAAAATTCACAAATGAAGCCTTTGGCTTGACACAACTACAAGACAAGAACACAATAAAGAAGGAATTTAAGGTTAAGCATGGATAGATCGGTTATAATTTTAATCAACATATAGAGTATTAAAACAGTTAAATGTCACCACTAATGTAATAACACATGTTGTTCTTCCCGCCTGCATCTAATCTGTATGCAGCAATGACGTCCTACTTAAGTCTGCCTGTTAAATTAGGCCAATAAGATATGAATGGGCGTATGCAATGCTATTAACAGTCAGTGTTTGGGACACAGCACTATTTTAATCTACAAGTGGTATTGCATATAAATGCTGAAATGTAACCCCTTCGTGACTGGAGACGTACAGTGTACATCCTGTCACTTTGTGCCTATATGACTGGCCACGTACACTGTACGTGACGAGTTATATCAGGCTTTGTAATGCCGGTATTTGCTGATTCTCAGCATTTAACAGTCATTCATTAATGTCTCAGTATTGAGGCATTAATTAATGAAATAATTAAGCTTTTTGTAAAAGCTTCTTCCTTTCATTAATGAAAGAATGAAGCCGTTACATGCAAATAGAGGACCGCAATTTGCGATCCCGTATTTGACAGCTCAAAATAGCAGAGAGGCAGCAGTGACTCACCTCACCTCTCTGCTATTTGTTTTGACAGCTCGAGAGCCCGATGTTTAGATACATTTCACTGAAAGGATAAAATGTATCTTTTCAGTGAAATGTATCATTTCTGATCGTCTAGGCACGATCAAAGAGCTTTTAGTGAGATCTGAATCTGACTAAAGTCAGGATCAGTCTCTAAGGTTATTATTAGCTGTTCCTAAGTTTGGATCAGCCTAATAGCCAAAAATAAAATAAAAAAGTTAATTTATCAAGCTGTCATAGTGATTGCTTGATATAAACTGACAAGAAAAAAAAAAGTTTTTTTATTTTATTTTTATTATTTTTACAAAGTGTAAAAAAATTAAAATAAAGTGTAAAACAAAATTAGGAAAATATAAATTATATATAAATATATTTTTTATACTATAATTAATATAAAAAAATTCTAAAAAAAAATAATAATAATCAAAACTTGTGAAAAAAGTGTTTTCTTCTAGTTTTTTTCCTCATTTTTTTTTATTTTATTCAAACTAAGTGAGGGGTTAGGTACACATATGTGATATAATTATATAGCCCTATCTGTCCTCTAAAAAACAATATATAATATGTGTGGGTACATTTAGTAAGAAAGTATATTACTGCTGTGGAAGAATCACACAGCAAAAATGTAAAAAATGTGTCAGTCATTTATGAACAGAACCTGAAAACTAGCTCAGTCATGAAGGGGTTAAAGCTCCCAGATTCCGTCACTATCTTTACAAAAGGAAACTTCAGGAGGCATAGAGCCATCTGGGTTCTAATACAAAGGGGTTCTTCAGTTTCACTTTTAGGAACCTTCTTCTGCATTAAATACATTTTTATTAAATGTTTTCAAAAAGAAGAGGTCAGATCAGGTGAAATTTAGACAGATGTATACCTATTTTTTAGCCAATATGAGTCTTCAATGATGAGATTTACAAAGTGCACTAAATCAAAAGGTACCATTAAATCAAATCATATAACTATTGCACAACTGCTAAAGGTGTATGTTGAAAGAGTACCAGCTTTTTTATTTTGGTTTCCTCTCTATCTGCTAGTATTAGTGGGTGTAAATCTAAAGAGTGGGGAATTAATTATCATGAAATTAGAAGTACTGACAATGAACATGAATAGAGGTGTAATACCACTAATGGTAACACTTTTGAGTCTAAAAGGCTCTCTTGACTCGGGTGCACTCTGAATGAAGAGGCAGCTCTCTCTCTTTCTAGTGATGGAAGAAAAAACTAAATGAGCAGCTAGAAGACAGCGCTTTAAGAACTATTGTAGTCTCACCATGCATTTATCCACATGCAAGGTTCCAAGCCTCACTAACTCTTTCAATTGTGGACCCAAATCCCCCTTTTTAATGGCAGTGAGGTCATTCAAAGAAAAGAGATGGAGGTCTTCAGTAAGGTGTCCAGGTACACTGTCGTATAATTCAAGTATGCTGTGGGAAAAAATATCAGAGTTATAGTAGGAAAATACAGGAAGTGAATTTCATCCCCACCCAGTTTTATATTGCAAGTCATATTTAAAAAAAAACCCATTAGGTTAATTGTTTAGAGGCACATTAAGCAGTTGAATTGTGAATTGTAACAGAGATATGCAAATATTTGTAGATCATTTTACCCCCTGGACTTCCACCTACCCACCGTATTGCTCAATGGGATAGATGGGCTCAATACTCAATATGGCAGGTGGGCATGCGTTTAGGTGCTATTATATGCAACGTTCGTTTCTCCACGAAAGCACATTATCAGCTGCTAAACGGCCCACGCAAGTGCAGAAGTAATTCTGGTGAGCCACTCTTATGTACGTTACTTACCCACACATGTACAGTATTGCCCAGCTATGTTCCACGTATGTGCAGCAATGTTGCCATCAATATGGCAGCAAGATCCTGTGCATGCACAGTAGTGACGTTACAGAATGATTGCTAGAACGCTCACGCTGCACATGTACTCAATATAGCTGGGTGTTACTGTTGACCATGCATGCACATTACTTATCCTGCGGAGGCATAGGTGAACCAGGCAACATTAAAAAGGAGAAGAGCCATGCATATCTGTTACTGTGCATGGTAGTAGCTTTTTGTTGTCATAGATATCATGTCAGTGAACGCCACATCATTCGGCTCTCACTGTTGCTGAAAGAGGAAGACAGATACTTTACAGACTGGGGATCGGGGTGTCAGAGCAGCAACCCCCCTCCCCCCCTTGCCCTCACCACTCTGCAAAAACACCATACCAACCCAATGGGCACACCTTTAATAGTAGCAAGTATAAAAGTGCAAAAGTAGTAGTCAAAGTACAAACTGAACAATACAACATATATTTCCAAAAGAAAAGCTCACTTTTTGGCCAATCTGCAGGTTTTGAACATGTTCTTCAGATACACCAGCTGTATTCTTAATAACTGTAAAATAAACATGTTCCATTATACTTAGCAAAACAAACAAAAAATGTTTCTAAGCCAGATTATTTGCAGGTTCACAGAAGGACACCCACCCGGACTTGCTCCAAGGCTTTCACTTTGCGATACATAGCACTGTTGATATCATGGAGGTTAAATAGAGGATCACTCCAAATCTTGGTCAGAAGATCCTTAGAAAAATTACTGACGCAATATTTGCTGAAGTCCCATTTCCTCAGAATGTGCCCTGGGATGACAGACTGCGCTTTCTCATGACAGCACTGGCAAAAATACTTCCCCAAGTACTCACAGTAGCGAAGCCTTTTGATGTAATCTGAAAAAACAAAAACATTTATACAGATATAAACTTTCTAACGCAAAACTAATGCTGAGCACTCCAGTGCTGGTCATACATAGAAATTTCAACACAGCAAATTCTATGTGAGAACCAATCAAAGCCAACTATGATCGAATGCTTAAGTCGATTCACAGGGTGATGCAAACTGTTGGCATTAGGTTGCACTGATGTTTTTGGACATGTTTTGTAATCACAAACTGGTTGAAAGCACCTTAAATTTCCAAAATGAGTTGGACTCACAATAATAAAAAAAAAAATAAAGTGAATAAAACATTATTTTAATACTACTACTTATAATACTACAATCAGGTGGTCAGCTAAATGTAGACTTCAGAAGTCACTCAACCAGCAGCTATTTAGGGGCCAATAAAAATGTATTTAAAATGAATACAAGAGAAAAGTCTCCAAAAATGGTGTCAACGGGCCTGTTCACATGAGTTTCAGGTCCTGATCAGGTCCGGATCTGCAGACGCGGTGCTACTGATGCAGTGCGTTTTGACCGCGTTTTTGATGCGTTCCAGTATGAGTGGGGCTGTTAGTATGTTAGCTGCAGTGCATTTTTTACGCGTTTGCATTTCCTGACCGTACAAAATGTGACATTCAGTATTTTTCTGTCGTAACCTGAACGGACTGCGCACGTGAGAACTGTAGCCCATAAAACACATAGGGATATATTTGGATGCATTTTGAGTACAGGAGCGTACAGATCAGGTCAGCACAGAAAACGGACGTCGTGTGAACAGGCCCTAAATCTCACTGTCTACATGGGTCATTATAGCTGTTCAACAGAAACACTGTAAATGCAGCAACTTTGTCTCTTTAAAACACCTTATACCACATCACCTTCATTCATATATTACTATATTAAAGTGACACCAATCGCAAGAGTTAAAAGCTTCAAAATGCATTCAAGTACCTTAACTATTAACAGAAATGTATCTTATTTGTGTATCACTCGGCTGTAGATCCTCAAATCATCTGTGAATTGGTGTTGACACTGTCCTTCCTTCTGGAGGGCGACTACTTTTGTTCCCCATGGCCCCTGTGTGTGTTATAAAGTAGTCCCTGCTCCAAGCTCGCTCCTCTGATGGACTACTAATACAAATTAGTAAACTAAACGTAAATTGTAGTCAATCACGGGACTGCTCTCCACTACTATTAGCATGTTCCTTATTAGCACTTGACTACTGCAGCACAACTGAATGTTCCTTGTGCTTCTTCTCCTCTATCACAGTCTGAGCCCCACTGCACAGAAATTGCAGAATGCCAATTTATATTCAAATTCAGGTACTTACACTGCTTGCATGTAAGACATTTATGCCATATTAAAACGAGAACTGTGAGGTGAGTGCTTTTCACTCACCTCATAGTTCTAGCCGACCTGTGTCAATGAGACTGTCACAGGTCGGCTCAGTAGATCGGGAAGTGAGCGAACACATACAGGCGTTCGCTCACTTCTCGATCCTGTCACGGCTCTCTGCTGTGACAGGGGAGAGACTGGATTCCCCCCTCCGAAGCTCCAGCGCCGACTGGCGGAACGGATGGGGGAGGGGGCGGGTACAGCTGGCTCTGCCTCTAGATAGGCAGAGCCAGCTGTCAGTCACGCAGCTGGGCAGATCCAGACATAATTGTCGGGATCCGCTTCAGCTGCGGCGTCTCAGTATACCGCGAGCTGCAGCTCGCGGTATACTGAGCTTAGGGTGATGGGAGGACGCTAGTTTGTGTCCTCCCGTTACCCTTGGGAGAACTGTGGGGAAAAGCCTTAACCCCATAGTTCTCCTTTAATGAATAAAGAACTTTATTCATTTGTGTATTTTACATCTGCTTGGAAAAAAAAACCTCTCACATAGCTCAAACCTAAATTCCATTCAATAACTTACCAGGTTCAATCCTAATACCACATCCGGCACATCTGTAATTCTGCTTTGTGACTGCTACTTTCTTCCTGTAAAAATTGGAAGCATACGATAAACATCACAGGACAAATCTCAGACGTTCCTAACAAACAGCTGTATTCTTATAGCATACGTTGGAGCTGTGTGTATGTTGAAGATGATCTGTGGTCTTGGTGGGGCCCATTCCAAGTTTCCTCGAACTCGAATCCGCAACTTGTAAATGTCCGCATGTTCTCCATCATCTGGGGAGATTGGCATGGAATCTGGGATTGGCAGGAGCTAAAATAAAGAAACGAAAATGCCCCTATGGATAATACGGTAAAAGGACAGTAGAGTGCAAGCAGTGTGTCACACCCCTGCTGTAGCTGGGCTCACTTGATCCCGGGGAGCTAAACATTACACTATGCTAACATTAAATTAGAAGATAAAAAAAAGTTAAAATTTGTTTAATGCAAATGTTAAGCGCAGATATAATGCACACTGCTATTGGTTACATGGCACTCTGGCCAGTTAGTGGTATACCATGCACCTCCTACACTCCCACACTATTCACATACCAACTTGAGTTTTCTAGAAAGTTGTTTTCTCTTAAACTTTTTATATGATTGCCGTAATATCCGGAAACCAACAAATGAATGCTGAAATAAGGAGTATGGAGATTAGAATGTATATCACTTGTGCTGAGGTCACATACAGTTTCCATCACTACTTAGAACCGTGGAGCAAATGGCATTGAACTATGTTCAGTTACATTAGGCTGTGTTTTTTAAAATCTATGGCATCACTTACTACCCATTATTCACACAGCTCACACTATTATTCTCAGTATGAGATGGCTCTTACATTTTGAAAATATATTATTATTAAAAGTGCCAATTATAGCAGAAAAAGCTTTTGAGATTGGTCAGACCTTCAGTCTTTTTTTTTCTTTTTATTTAATTTGACATCACCAGCATGTTCCACTGCACATCCAGCTCCATAAAGCTATTCAATGAGAGACCGCTCGTTACCGCTTAATCGGCACAGATCAAAATACTTGCCCAAACAGTATGTGTAAGTATGGCCTGAGTGGCTGATCGAGAAAAAATACTTTATTCCCCTTGCTGGGCTATTGTGTTCCAACATTGCTTTTTAACACCCTAATAGGCTAGTCACTGCAGCTCCCCTCTCTGCATTTGCCAGCACTGTCAATACAAAATGGACCTTCAGACACAACATTTATAAACACTGTTCAGAACTGAGATAGATAAAATATAACATGGTCCCTTTTGTATTTACTCTTTTGCATTTATGTGCAGATCTAAAAGATCTGCATATGATGTCAATTAATTAAAAAAAAAAACTCCGGGCAAAACTTTTATTAACTCCTGCAGTGGGGCTACCCCCGCACTGCAAAGATTAAGTGCTCGTTTTGGTCTAGCTGCTAATAAATAAATAAAAAGTTACACTCACCAGAGTTGCTGAGCCGCCTCCCTGCTTCTCAGGTCTTCGACATCTCTCTGCTCCTCCGTTGCAGCATTGGAATGTTCCTCCGCATCCTTGTGTCTATACTGTGTATAGAACGTGATGATTTTGACGGGACATTAGACCACTGCAGCGGAGGGGGAGCGAGACCGGAAGGATGGGTTTAAGTGCAAGCCAGCTTAGAGGTTCCAGCAAGTATAACTTTTTTTTTTTTTTTAGCACCTAGACAAAAAACGAGCAATTAACCCTTGTAGTGCGGCGGTAGCCCCACTGCAAGGGTTAAGAAAAATGTTGTGCAGAGTTCTTCTTTAAAGCAATCTGATATTAAAAATATTCAAATGAACCCCCTTCCCCATAGCCATTTTTTATTTCTATTTTTTTAACCATTAATATTTAAACTTTATTTTCCATTTCTATGCTTTTGTTTTGTTGATTTCTTTTTTAGTGTTACAATAAAAAAAAATAGTGCAAAACTGAAAAAAAACAAAAAACTAATTTCATTAGTAAATAACTTTAAATGTTTGGTATCGGAATCATTTTAAACAGGAACATTTTTAAGCAGGAAAAATTCTAGAATAAAATGTATACTTGTTATCTACAGTAACATTGGTTTTTTTTAAACATGGAGCAAAGCATTTTTTTTTAGCTTTGTTACTTTTTTTTGTCTGTGGATTGCAACCCACAGATATTGTTAGAAAAGAATACAGGAAGTGAAAAGGTGTTATATCCCCCACCCCCCTGGTTTCCTGTTTAAAATCAGATTTCATAGTCAAAATAATATAGGATAAACAATGAGGTTAGTTGTTTAGAGGTACACAATGTTTTGGCAGTTACATTATAAATTGTAACTGAAAAATGCAAATATTTGAAGATTAATGTTACCCTTGGCACACACTGCATATTAGCTTTTTGTCGCCATGAATACATAGTCATCGTCAGTGACTGCCACACTGCATGCCATAACATCGCTCTCACCACTCTGCCAAACACCACCACCGTACTGCAACAGCTCCATCACCACTGCACCTGACCCCTCCCCCTCCCTCCCAAATCCACCCGAATATTTCCCCTGCCTACACCAATTCCTACTATTCCTATTCACCACTGCACCTGACCCCCCTCCCAAATCCACCCGAACATTTCCCCTGCCTACACCAATTCCTACTATTCCTATTCACCACTGCACCTGACCCCCCTCCCAAATCCACCCGAACATTTCCCCTGCCTACACCAATTCCTACTATTCCTATTCACCACTGCACCTGACCCCCCTCCCAAATCCACCCGAACATTTCCCCTGCCTACACCAATTCCTACTATTCCTATTCACCACTGCACCTGACCCCCCTCCCAAATCCACCCGAACATGAACATTTCCCCTGCCGTCACCACCGTACCTACACCAATTCTTCCCTCCTACTCACCACTGCTCCTACCCCACCACTCCACCTGTGGCATTAATCCCTGTTATATATATAGCTTCCAGCCAGGTCAGAATCTGGACTGACTACTATGAAGTAACCGGGCCCTCTCACTACAAAGAGAGGAAAATTCAATGATGGTCACATGGTTCTTGGTATGATGTATATGCTTTCTTGAAGAAAACACAAAGAGGGGCGCAATGAAGGGATCCATGCAGTACGTCCTGTGTGTAGATAAATGACACTTCCTTTATCTATACATAGGACGTACTGCACGGATCCCTTCATTGTTCCGGTTTTTAATTGTCCTGCAGCTTGTTATCACTCTATCTTTGTGAGTACCTGCCAGTTTACTTTTTAACCTGTCTATTGGAATAAACCTATCTGGACCAGGAAAGGCGCCCCTCTTTGTGTTCTTTCAGATGTCCCAGTTCCCCTGACTGTATTGGGGCTGCGCCCTGCACATATGCCCAGTACTCCTTCCTTGTGAGGGATGAGGATTGCCTCTGGCGTTTGTTAACAAAAAACTTTATACTATATGCTTTCTTGGTTCACTACAGAATGTAATGTTTCAGTCCCCTCTAAAAATCTTTATCAAGCTCATGAAGATGAGAAACTCTTCCATCAAATGATCTGATCAATAAGACCAAAATGTATGGCAAATAAATTATACTGGTATGTTTATCAGCAGTCATTATTAGAGTATTCATCTCAAAGTAATTGAAATGTGACCTGGCTCTTCCACTCTGTTGTTGGTGCATTAAATATAGCGATTTCCACCGATCTATTGACGGTGGTTGGGTTATAGCCCCAGACACTGTGAATACAGCAGCGATAGCTACTTTCACAATAGCCGGGGTGTTCTGGGTATGTTAAGTGGGGCACTGAGCTCAAAGCTCAACAAAGCAGCTGCTGCTCTGCGTGGGATCAGACGTTGCCAAGCCTTTCAGTTGGTTAGAGTCAGCTGTTAGGGATGATAAATTGGCAAAACCCCGTAGTCTGCTGTTTTTGAAAGTTTGAATTGATATAATCTTTCAACGATACAGGAAATGTTTATCAGAGTGAGGCAATGAGCACAGAAATGCTGCTCTACCAGTGCACTCCTACATTATGCCTCAGTGCTGACAACTGTGCCCTTGCAAGGCTGTGCTGACAGGGGCTTGCAAAGACAATGAGGAAATGGGAGGTAGGAAGGACAGAAGAAGCATTGGATTACTGGGACATTGCAGGGTATATATCAGGAAGATTACATAATATCACAAGAATGGGCATACACATAAGTACCTAATGTACTTAATTGATAGCTAAATTTAAATGAGAAATGTTGATGTTATCACAAGGTCTCCCTTAAAGCCCAACTCCAGCTTTTAGCCAGCATACCCCATAACTGAAAAATTCCAATGAACATGAAAACTTGATAATGCTGTACACAGCTCCAGGTTCCAAGGCTTTATTTCAAATACAAACTAGCTCACATTATATAACTGCTCTATTTTCACTTTCCAGCATACAAACCTTAAAGCCAGATTTCCTCCAGCCATGTGTCAAGCGGCAAGCATGGCCCTTCTTCTGTCAATAATGGAGCTTGGTCTCCACTGCAGGATAGAAAGGTGCTCATGTTTTATGCAGCAGCAAAGGTTTTGTGATGAGGAAAGAAATAGTGGTTGGGTGACACTGGGTGCTAATCAACCCGGAAGGGGAGCACCGGAGGAGGATGCGGAGGGTAGCGCTGGAGCAAGTGAGTGGTGCGTAAATTATTTTTCCCCCACACAGAATGGGGAACACAAAAGCTTAAAACAAAATATTGGAGCTGGACAGTACCATCTGCTGAAGTAAGACTTTAGCTACAAGGGTAGAGTAGCCAAAAGGTAGTGTACTGTTCTTCATTAGTGGGCTGACAGACACACATTGTGAGAAGGAGCTCTACAGCACAGACTATGTATGTCATGAGAAAATATGGCTGCCCCCAAGTATTGCAAAGCAGGAAGCATAGACCATGTATGCAACAGGAAAATATGGCTGTCTCCATGTACTGCAAAGCAGGAAACAGAGACCATGTATAAAATAGGTAGATATGGCTGTCCCCATGTAGTGCAAAGTAGGAATCAGACTGTATGTACATAGGGGCACGCATGTGTTCCCCATCACAGGAAAAGGTGGAAAGAAAAACCTCACATTGATAACATACAGTGTATAGGCAAGCAAATCTATTTTACACGGATATCTACACATTCATTGAAAAGACCCTGTCAAAATGGGCGTACATTATGAAGAAAGCAATATTATACTTACCTGTCTGTCAGCTGGATGGCAGAAACATCACTTTGTACCAGAGCTCCCACAACTGATCCTGTTCCACAATTGTGGATGTCTGGTCTAGTGTGTCCCCCTCAGGCTTCTGTGGTTCCTCGCAGAGAGCCCTACATCACTACTGTATGACTAGGGAACAGCATGAGGCACCACATCAACCATCAAGGGACTTGGTATTCAGGAGCCCGAGGAGATGAATAGGATCAGCTTTGGGAACTCTGCTACAAATGATGTTTCAGTAAATAGGCTGCTGGACAGGTAGGTATAATGCTATTTTCATCACAAGGTACTGCCATTCTAATTTTGCTAACCCTGTGACAGGGTCACTTTAATGCAGAATTATCTGACAGAAGGTAACTTACATCGGCAAAAAAAGTGTATTCAATAATGTGTCACCTATGGTCATAGTTTGCTTCTTACCACACAATCATTAGCAACAAATATAAGTTGCTGTTCAAGGCTCTTTTATAATGTACAAATCTCTTAATCTAAAGACGTACTGGAGAAATCAATTCCTCAAGACAGCAATAAATGTAGCCTATTGCTCACCTTCTGCGGAGCATCGTGTTCCGGAACCAGCCATTCAAGCTCTGATGCAGCCGGTAATTGCATCCCCTCAAACTGTTTCAGGAGACCCATGGCCACAGCTTCGGCAGAGTTGGAGTGAAGGAAGGAGTGTGATCTGCAGGCATATTGATATTTCTATGACAAAGGAGTCCAAGAGAGTACGCTATGATCTTACAATTAACATGAAAAACTCAAAGTTCAGGAAGTTCTAAATTTTTAGGGAAAATACAGTGTACTGTATATTTATTTCTAGTCCATTGAGGGGCATGGGAAGTCTTTCAGTTTTGGGATATACTGCTGCCTAAACTACGAATGGACACTGGCAAATAAAATAACTGTAGGCCAGCCAATGAGAACTCCTCCCATTACCAGCATGCCTCAGTTTTTTGGTAGTGTCCTAGGAGGATTTATGAATTTTCTTCAGCTCTGCTGTGTAAAAGACTAACCTATTTTTGTTAGCACCCTTTCATCTTACTCAATACTTTTTCTTCAATTAAGACTCTTCTCTACACAGCTGTCCTTAGTCTTGCTTTTGAAATACCGCATCTAGACCCTTCTGGATAGTGTGCTGCAGTGACAATGGGAAAGCATGGAAAACCGCAGCAACCAAGTCTCTTTAACACGTGAGGTCTTGTCTCTTACCCTAAACCTTGTGTTGCCTTAATGCCATGCTGTCACATGTCTGATTCTAGACATTTGGGGGGGGGACGGGGGACACACGACATACAGTACAACTGTAATAGATGCCCCCAGCTCACTAATGGCTCCAGAGCTACTTACAGTGTGCCTACTGATGGTGCCAATGTCTGTAGCCTGGAATCATGTTGCCCTCTGCCCCTAGAGTCTATTCCATCATCAGAGTCCTTTTTAGTTCTGTCTGATCTGACCAATTCCTCTGCCCTTTTGGCTAATGTTTAAACTACAGTCAGGCAAGACTTTATAGCCCAAATTACCCAGCTATTTGCCAACTCTGACCACAGAGGCCACAAGCTCCCTATTATGTTTCCTCCAGCAGATTCTCAATCTGGTTCTAAGTCACTCCAGTCTTTGATTGATGACCTTGCCCCAGAGGAGTCACTGTCCACTGCTAATAGTCCCAAATTAAAGATTTTACTTCAACCCGTTCACTGTTCCCAAACCCAAAAGGGGAATGCACCCCAATCTTGGATTCAAAGCTCTGAATATTTTTATTCAAGCCCAGAAATTCAGCATGGATTCCAACAGGTTTGTCGCTGCCTCCTCTAACCAGGCAGCAGACTTTCTGTCTTCTGTGGACATCAAGGATGAATGTTTCCATCTCTTCAGCGTTTCCTACGTTTTACTCTGAAGCCCATACACTACCAGTCCTTGGACCGGCCCTGTAGTCTCTTTTCTGCACCTTGGGAGTTCACCAATGTTCTACCAGGTGGACTTTGTGGCTTCAACTGAGGCATCCTGATAGTGGAAAGGGCTATCCTGGCCTGCCAGTGTCCAATACTCCTGCAGACAGCCGTATATCCCAAAGTTTAAAGACCTTCTGTGTTCCTCCAAGGAAAGGATTTTACAGCAAATACAATAATCCTATTATTTCTAGAGTTAAAGATGGTTTATAAGACAAGACAGGTTTCAGTGGACATGTTTTGAATATTACTACAGTGTTTTCCTTTAAGTCATTTCTTGAGGTCTATTAGGTATGCTAGTTCACATTTTGCATTTTTCTATAAAATCAAGAGATTTGTAGACAACCCACTAGAAGCAGCGTAGATTAGCTGCTGCAATGACTAACTAAAGCTTGACCACTTCACAGCTGCTGAGATAAGATACCAGAGACATTCTTTTCAGTCAATCATCCAAGTCATAGACTTGTGCTGTAAGAAGAAATGGTAAAGCACATCCATTTTTTGTGGCACTACAAAAATAAAGCCTGCTTACAAAAAACTAAAACACACTGATAAGATTATTTAAATGAAGCTGATCTCTTTTACATGTACATCAGTAAAAAATATTAAAAAGGTCTATAATTCCCTTGAAGATAAACCACATGCAGATCTTAAAAAAAGCAATGTGGTAAATTTATCAAAACTGAAACAGACAGAATCTGGAGCAACTGCCTATAGAAACCAACCTGCTTCTCTTTTCAGTTTGTTCAATTAAGATTTAAAAAACAGCACACTGCAAGAGGCTTAAAACTAATTAAAATTCAAGTATTGACCCCGATTGCATTTAAAAAGAAGAAAAAAAAAAACCATTTATTTATGGATCAAAGGAGTATTGGGAGAGTAAAATTTATTCTTCCCAATACTTAGAGCCAGCGTGGAAAACTGCAGCTGTCACACACTTGTTCTACATACCAAGGGCTAAGCGATCACATACTAAGCGATCACAAACTAAAATTAGTATACTGTATACACCCGTGACCAAAAATTGAGGTAAAGCCAAAATAAAAGTTTGGCTTTACTTCTCTTTTAATTATTAGTGTGTTGCATGAATTTGTGGTTTTTTTTTTATAGTTGTCTGGAGTTCAGATTTGAATGAAGCAAAGCATAAAGATGACAAACATTATGCTGCAGCCCCTATATATGTAATTTAATTGTGTATTCAGCTTTTTCCCTGGAGTTCAGTTTTATCCACTTCATATTATCACAAAGAAAATATAAAATTTACACTTTAAACGCACATGGATTCAGAACTTTGCATAGGCTGGAAACTTGTGGTCTTCCTAATGTCTGCATCTAAAATAAAAGACAAATACAAAACAAATGCATAGCAAAAATAAGTATAGTGACAATTAGACAATGAAGGACTGCAGAAAACAATATTCCATAGTACACAGTTGGTTCAATTATCTACCTGACATCCTTGTCTTACAATAACACCCTCACTATATGATAAACCAAAGTAGCACTGAGTATTGAAGAAGTCTGGGAGCTGATCCTCACATAAAGGTGTATTGTGTAGAACATACCGATAAACCATCAATGCTCAACCAGAGTATAAAATTAAACTTAGGTTGCCCAAATGTCTGGAAATCTATAAATGAATATTTGAATGAGAGCATGGAGACAAGCTATATCATAGATTGTACTGAGGCCATCTACACTCTCCATATCTCATGGATGTATGAAGACTTACACATGAAACATATCCAAAGAGGAGACCCAGCACTGTGGGCAACTCCAGCTGTTGTAGAAGTAAAAGTCCCACGAGACATTGCAAGACTGACAGAGCCCATTCACACCAGGGCGGTTGCGGATCAGCGCGGTTACTGCGCTGATCTCGCAAGGGAGGTTTTAGTAGTGTTTATTTGCGTTTCAGTGCTGAAACGCAATAAAAAAACGCCCAAAACCACACTCATCAGTGCGGTTCCATTGAAACCTGTATGGGAACCGCTCCGAACAGCACAGCAAAAATAGTGCAGGGAGCAGTTCGGGCAGGGGCGGTTTGGATCGTGCGGACCCACGCGATTGCATGAACGGTCCCCATAGCAATGTATGGGATCGTTCATGTCGGCGCATCCGTGTGGCCGAACCGCCCTGGTGTGAACGGGGTCTTACAGGCGTGACTGCCAGAGGCATGTTGGGAGTGTAGTTAAAGCAAAGCTGGAGGGCCAAAGTTGCCTACCCCTGGTGTAGTTCCTCTGGTGATTTTTTTTTTCTGCCCCCTACTGCTTACACGGTTGCTCCCAAGCGAAGGATCATGTTTTAAATCTCATGGACGGAATTGGAAAACCCTCTAAATATTCAAGGAGGGGTAGAGCAGCAGTATGCACAGTAGGAGTAACAGTTTATGATATAAGCTACACTTTGCTGCATCTTCACAAAGGTTATACATACATTTTAAAAACTAGATGCCCCTCCACCCAAAATGAACATCTGCACATATTAGAAAGTGTCAACAGAACAGGCAGTGAAATACTGGGTTGCCCACAGTGTAAATAATGAGGACATATTTTTTAGTTCTACAAATCTATCAGTTCCTTCCAATAAGTGATGCTTTCATAGTATATCTTGCCTTGCCAATATTATCAGAAAAGATTTTACAAAATCTCAAGACACATAACATTTTATTTCAGCTTGATAATAAGTAGTATGCAAAGAAGACAAATGTGTGTGTTGAGCTGGCCATACACCTATAGATTTTCTGCAGAGTTTCTATGGCCAGATGGGAAAAGTGCAACAGATTACTCCATCTACCCTAAACTGTGTGGATAGAGGAATCTCCCACTGGGCCAAGCTTCAGTATCTTGCTAGTCGGCCCCGCTGGCTTAAAATACCTGAACAATCTGATTGGATGCAGGCATTGTTCGGGAATTTTGAGAGCCAGCGGGGCCGACTAGCAAGATACTGAACCTTGGCCCAGTGGGAGATTCCTCCATCCACACAGTTTAGCGTAGATGGAGGAATCTGTTGCACTTTTTCCATCTGACCATAGAAAATCTGCAGAAAATCTATAGATGTATGGCCAGCTTAAGCAGGGCTAACTCTTGATAAGTGACATCTATACCTAGAATCCTTGTGGATCTGCCTATCTCAAACAAATGAATGATGGGGAGGGAAGGGAGTACATTTGTAATGTATGATTTTAAATCCTTAAAATAGCAAAACCATCCTTATCTGCAAGGGAAGCTATTTTTTGATATAATAATCCACCACCGGAAACATGCTACCATGGATTTTCCCCCACACACATGCAAAGTGTCAAGCGTTCTATAGGCAGGAAACATAGTGAAAGTACTGGAAGTGTTACCAGAAAATCCACAGCCAGTGCAAAGTGTAGAGATGATACAGCAGGGCAACATACCGGCTGTGGCCCTCTCAGCAATATTCTATTTATACTACCTGAGAGAAGCGAAGCCATTGAGACAGAGAGTCCACATCTATACACTACAATCAGGTTACGACCATCATTCCCATCTGCATAATACAGCAATGGGTTACAGTATATCAAGATGGAAGGTTTATATAAATGACAAGCTATTTATGATGCTTTCTGAACTGACAAGCTAATCAGTACCAACATCTCCAATAGTATTGATCTTATCTAAATTAAAGCTGCAATCCATCCGTCTGGTAATATAAATCTTGTGAAACACTGAAAAGTCTGTAAAGTAATTGTGACCCAAAATTGTTTTTCATAATTCTTTCATGCTCTTGAAGTATTCTCAGGATCTAACAGAATACGAACATGTTTTATGTGCCCATTCCCACTGTTTTATTTCCAGTATCAACAGAAGTTAATTTTGCTTAGTCTATGGTTTAACCCCAAGCCTCTGCTTTAATCCATGCAACAAAATAAAGTTCTTCCAGAGGCACTACCCCAGTAGTTTACCTAAGGATCCATGCCACGGATATCTGCAAACAAACTTTCACCTTATTTCATTATACTCCATAAACTTTCAAGAGAATTACCAATATCATCATTGGAAACATGTGTGGGGCCTGTCTGTATGAATGACAACGTTGTCAATTGATTTTTAACTGGTGCCTTTAGGCCTTGTTCACACTGAAAGCGTGTGCGTTCCAGAGCGGTAGCTGCTGGAACGCACCGCGATCGCTGAGAAACTTCACCCCGCGTTTTGGGGCGGGAGGGGGCAAGCCTATTTGCGAGAGCAAAAGCCCTATTTTTGCGTTTGCAGTGGAACGGAACGCTGGCAAAGTTTTGCTACACGTTCGATTGCACTGCGGGCAGGGGGGCGTGGAAGTGGTGCCATTGAATTCAATGCACCGCCACTCCCTCTCCAAAACGCGGGGGGAAGTTTCTCAGCGATCGCAGTGTGTTCCAGCAGCTACCGCTCTGGAACGCACACGCTTTCGGTGTGAACAAGCCCTCAGAGTAAGATGCATTATATTTTGTATGTTACGTTTTTGATACTTTCTTTGCATTAATAAATATTTTCACAGAAAATCACAGTTCAGATCCTTTTGTAATTTCCGCAGGCTGATCCTTCTATAGGTACAGTCGCTTGTTTTTCCTCTGCTTTAATCCACCTAAGCACTGCACCATCATTAACCCTACAGAGTTCTATAGAAAATAGTAGTTAATGGGTGTATAGAGTATTTCAATCAACTATACAACTAAAAACCTACAACACCTTTGACACACTTCCCTAGACACTAATAAAGCATTTAAATCTGGGAAATGTGCTTCCTCTCTAGTGAAATGCCCTAAACATTTGCATCGTGCTACTTTTTAAAATCTATACGACAACATTAAGTACCTTTGATTTCATATTGATCCACTTCACCTATAGAACCAGAATCAGACAGATGAGCCGAGTCATGGGAACTTATCTGTGAACTGCTATCTGTCACACCGACACCTGTGAGACAAAGCAGAAAATATCTCCATTAATACAAAGCGACAGCAATCCAGAGTTCATTGCAAAGATGTTACCAGCAAATTCAGTGCAACTCCCCATAGTCATATAATTAAGCTTCAATGAGTGCTATCACTGAAGAAACTTTAGTTTTCTAAATGTCCAAAGTATTGCTGATAGATTACCCAATAGCTGTACTATAAACTGCAAAAACTAGGCAACAAACAAAAAAAAAAAGCAATTAAATTGGTGCCCACACTGTCCTTCCTTCTAGAGGGTGGCTACTTTTGTTCCCCAAGGTCATGTGTGTGTTGTAAAGTAGCCACCGCTCCAAGCTCACTCCTGTGATGGACTACAATTTTGCATTTAGTTTACTAATCTGTAATGACATTGTAGTCCATCACAGGAGTGAGCTTGGTGCAGTGGCTACTTTACAACACACACAGGGGCCATGAGGAACAAATGTAGTCACCCTCCAGAAGGAAGGACAGTGTCAGCACCAATTCAGAGATGATTTGAGGATCTACAGCCGAGTGATACACAAATAAGATACATTTTTATTAATAGTTAAAAGGTACTTGAATGCATTTCTAAGATTAGACCCCCAACCATGTTTTTTCCCCCCTGTGTGTCCCATTGTGGGAAAATGTACTCATCTCCTATCCTTGATCTCTCCGAAAGGAGCAGGAATCCCCTTTTAGGCAGCTGTCACCAGAAGAGGTGTCCCCACTGGAGGATTTCTACAAACTTACTATTCTGGTGACAATTGTAAAATGTTGAAATTCCCTTCACTTTCTGTCCCAGAGAGTGTGGCCACCAAGACAAATGGAGGGTAAATCACTCAACCAGGGACAAAGACAGCAATAAAGATCTAAGTCCTAACCTTAAAAATCACATCCTTTTAATGTTCACATCCTTTTATAATTTTTAAGCATAAAAGTTCAATCTTGGAATCAATTGTTTCAAATGACCTTTTGTTTGCAAATAAACTGTTTAAACACAACAAGGAAAAAAACTATTTGCTGAAAATTGATCAGAACTTCTATTAGTAATGTGCGTGGTCGTGGCGCGAGCCGAGTTCATCCAAACAAGCGCAAAACTGTCAGTGACTTACCCGCTGTCTCTGTTAAGTGTAGCTGCAGGGCAGAGAATGCCCTGGCTGCAGCTGATTGGGACTGGGACAATGTTTTGACAGTCTTGTGTTGGCTTGGATGAACTTGGGTGACTGCGATTCACACCAAGTTCACGCTCATCATTATTTTACACCTAAAAGGATTGTTCCTTTTTTTACGAAAACAGCTGTTGATTGAAAACCTCACACATTCAGTACAATTGATTCCTGAAAATGTTTTTTTTGTATGCTAATTACTTCAATGCACAGTATCCAATAGGTATGTGTGTGTATGGCCAGCTAAAAGGTACAGACAGATCAGAGAAGATAAATTTCCCCGGAACTGAATTAATTCTTAACCCTGCTGATGTCAGTCATCTGACTAAGTGCCACAGCATTGGTCATGTATGCTTAAAAATGTGAGGATCAGGAGGTTATCAAAATCACTATACTGCCTGAAAACCACTCTTCCAAACCCTTTTCTTTAAAATTATGTGACCAATTATCTGATATTTGTTCACAGAACCATCACCAGCGGGGAGAAGAATTCAAAGTGCCTGGGAGAGAGGTCAATTAAAAATGACAGGTCAGGCGACCGTTTCATATTTATAACAAGAATTCACAATCATTCAGCAAACCAAATGTATAAAGCCTGAAAGAAACTCGTAGGGGAGTGTTGCCTTCAGTACAGCAGATTAGACAATAAAAGCAGATGATGGGTTGGTCCTGCACCTCCTTTCGAATTTAAGAAATGCAGCAACTCAAAACTGTAAATGTGCCTCGGAGACTGCAGCACATTTCTGCTATGTTCACCAAGATTTAAAGTGGGCGTCTTACTGCTGCAGTGTTCGTCATTGCTCGCCCTTTTCTGAGTACGAATCTGCTGTCGCCGTAGACAAATTTTCTGCTTCAACTCTCGGATCTCACGATCACTGTCTTCTTCCTCTTCTTGAAGCTGACGCCTCATCATGTTACACTTCATGAGCTCAATAGCCCCAATGAGAGACTCTGAAATGCTGAAATGAGCATTTTCCTATGCAGAGAGAACAGAGAGAGTTGAAATACCAGTATAGCAATATAAAAAAATAAGGTGATTAAAATAAGCAATACATTTTCCTCAGAATTTATAAGCCCAGCATTAATAAAAACTGAGAGCCATGCAGCTGCAACATGCAGAAACAAGATATCAAAGGGATTTCAAAAATGTACATCGAATTCAGAAATATGTCATCATTTTATTACCTTCTCCAAGTCGGCACAGCTGCCGAAATCCTGCTCAGAAAGATAACTGATCAACGACTGTCCCTCTGACGGCCTTCGAAATATCCCTTCCGCACCATTCAAGTATTGTGTGCTGTCTGCAAGGAAAGATGTCAAATATTCCTTAAATGGGACTTCTATCTAGTTGGGAGCAAAACATTAAATATTTCCAACTTTCTATAGCCTCCTTGTAAATAACAATCTCACCTAGTTTGCAATGAAACCCATTTTATTATTTGGTCCCTCTTTTGTATCAGGTTTCACCAGAATTTTGAGTTTTTTGCCATATTAAGAAAACATCTGTGTTGAGAAAAATACGTAACTACCTTTACTAACCGCCTTCTAAAAAATCTGGTTGTCCTGTTTTCAAATGGGTCCTTTGGCTCCAATATTTGCTTTGTCAATGATGCAAAACAAGTATTCAGATCAAGAGTTCTGACATCACTGCTTGCATACCTGCTTGTGGATCAGTGACTTAAACTACAAAAACCAAAGCATTGCTAGGACACCAGGCAACTCAAATTTTAAGAAGAAGCTTAACAAAAGCATCGTATGGTATGCATTTCTTCTATGTCAGGTCCTCTTTAAAAAAAAAATGTTGGCGAGACTTGCATGTACCTACACAAAAGGGGTTACAAGCAAACTGGGATTTTCATTTTCTTTTATAAAAATCTCTTATAAAAAGACATCCATGAAGCTTCTTACTCTAGTGTATTACAGAATATACTTACCTCTTTGGGGACCTTCACTGGAGATGCTGCTACAAAATCCCCCCAGATGTCTGGTCTCCCCACATATGGGACTACATGGAAAACAATTTTTACTGAGCTTGCAACTTTCCCTCGTCCTCTCCCAAAAAATTGTCAGTATCTGGGAATTAGTCGCCCCAACAGAATCCTATCAGGACTGACTACTTCAAATTAAAAGGCCAACATTTTTTTGATTCCTATAACCATGCCAACTAAATAGCCAGTGAGATTACGCCCTTATCCAGTCTTTGCCCTTGTAGCTTTCAAGGTCACCTCCCTGTTCACTGGAATGCCCATCAGCACAGCAACAAGGTGTGTTACCTGGGCTTTCACCTTCTGCAAGACACCTAACAACTCTTCCCCTATGCAGTACCTCATTGCTTGAAACCACTTACCATGACTTTGCAATGCAATAGAACCTGTTCTGCTCACAGTCCTAAAATCCCCACCCTCAACTAGATTTCTAATAAGCAGATTATAGAAAGTTAATACGATAGACTTGTGTTTGGTACACAAGGTCCTTGTGTACCAAACACAAGTGATAGCTGGAAGGCTGTTATACCAGTAGTATTAAAAATACACAATGTATTTTGAACAAGTGCACAGCTGGGATAAAATATGACATTTTATGTTTGTCTGGAGTCTTCTTTTAAAATTGAAATAGTTATTTTAGTGTTTTGGAGATGGTTTTCTTGCTGCTTCAATTTTACAGCTGCTAGAAATGGCAGTCCTATACCTGCACTCGCCTCCAATACTTAAGGAGACCCAAAAACAAGGATGCCCTCATTTAAATAGTTAATCTTTTACCAAGAAATAGGAGGCCTAGCCCACCTCTTTCCACCACTCCATACTAAACGCAGAAGCTGGCCATCATTGGTAAGAATCAGTACCAACTCTTAGAAGTAATTTGAAGGTATGTGTAGGCATACACCAGGACTATCTTATTTTGGGGAAACTGAACAATCCCCACCCCCCCCCACCCCACATACATACAGACGCACACACACACACTTTCTGAACATAATTTCCTGGCTCAGTAGACATGGTATAAAGGGCCTGAAAGGCCTTGTATACAGAGTTAGAATTGAAAGCAATCAGTGAGCACCTTTATTGCCCTCCCATTAGCCACAAGTTAATGTACAACAGAATGAGGCCAAATAATGGAGATGGGTGCCAAGCAAGAGCTTTCCTTTCAGAGCAAATTGATTGCTGGCAAATAAAAAACAGGCTAAAGCTAAAAAGAAAAGCCAAGCAAAAAACAGTATTAAATGTAGAGCGCAGGTTCAGAGCTCATTTACAAATTTATGACGTATTAGGTGCGTTTTTTAAACATGCGTTTTTTAAACATTAAACATGCGTTTGCAAGTATTTTTACATGTGCTGGCATGCTATTTGAAGGTTTTCTATTCCAATTACTTCAATGGGAAATGGCAGGTCAACACATGTGAAACTGCAGCATGCAAGATATTTTTAAAATGTACTGCAATGCTTTATGAAATGAGTCCTACTGACACAAATGGGTATTTAAAGTACCATACAACTAAACTTGTGCAACAAAATGCAGAAAATTGCTCAAAATTGCATCTGGCGTGAATGAAGCCCATAAAGTAAAACAAGCTGAAGATTCAGAAGGGTGTGTGTTTGAATGTATTATTTTAAAATATCATAGATATTATAGATATATTGCTCTACTGCGAGTTCCAACTTAGCCCCACACCCCTTACTAAAATCTGGCAGATGGTGTAAAAGATTTTACCACCTATCAGTAGGAAAGTCAGATCATACATGTGCCTGGGATAAAGAGGTGCTAGCCAGACGGTCGCATAAAACAACAACATTTAGGACATTTTACACTTATATGACTCTAGTCATCACGCACCATAATCTATGTAAAGGGAGCCAGAGCCATTTGTTTTTCCATTACAGGGTGCATTGCCTCTTCTGAACAGTTCAGCATGGGATTCTACAAATACCCAAAAGAAAGAAGTTAGGATAAAAGCAGTATGTTGCAATTGTTTTCCATTGTTGAGGCCAACAACATATATATACATAAAGCATGCTGCCAAAATAAAATTACAAGACAATGTCACATTTTGTAAAGAAAAACACATCCAATGGCTTATAAATCTACAACATGGAAAAAGAGTGACATAAAATTCAACTGGAAATTGCGGAAAATGAATATAGCGCTACATGGACCAAAGAGAAGAATTCACTGACAACTGCCACAAAAAAAGAAAAAAAAAAAAAAAAAAGAAGAATGATTTGGATATAATCAAACGTGCAAAAAACAAAAGATAGTTTGCCTACAACAGGAAAACAAACAGTTACATAAAATCCAACTAAAATGTGAGGAAAATGAAAAAGGAATATAGCGGCACATGGCCCAAACAGAAGAATTCACTGACAACTGCCACAAAAAAAAACAATGATTTGGATATAATCATACGTGCAAGAAACACAAAAGATAGGTCTCCTAATGAGCAAAAGCACTGGGTCATATACCAAGAACAACTACTGAGCATAGAGGCTGGTGCAATTAAAAATACTACTACCATATAATTAGAAAACTCATTTTGTTATGAATATCAAACTAAAACCCACTCAAAAGCAGATATTTGTACTCCACTTGACGGATCATTTAGAAATTACTGTATGGAGGAGTTCTGCTAAAAGTGATTTTTGACTGAACGAGTTCAAAAAGGGATTTTAACTTACAGAAGGTTGGCAAAGACAGTGAGGTAATATCCCCTCCCCTAGAAGACAGGTTACTAATAACCTTCCCAGTAACTACTTCCAGATCTCATGCTTGCTCATTCAGTTTAAACACCAGTCAAGCTAGGAGTACCATGAAAGCCCAACATTTAAAAAAGAAGAAAAAAAAGTTATTTACGGTAAATTTAAAACCCTTTTTTCATTATTGGCATTAGGACTGAACAGAACTGTAGAAAACTCACAGGAAACCCTCCTGGAAACGGTGGCACCGAGCAGGCCATCGTGCAAAGTTGCAGTGCCTTGCAGACGAGGTTATAGTACTGCAAAACCTGGCAGGCAACCCAATGAAGTTGCAAGATTTGAAGACAATTCTATGAAAGCGCAGAATCTTGACGACAATCCAGTGGAAGTGTAGGATACAAAGACAAATCTTGAAGACAGTCCTGTTGGGTTGCAGAATCTAGCAGATCAGCCATACAAATGTGTCTGATGGATAAATCTCATGAATGCAATCTTTCTTTCTACAGTCTTCAATCTTGCATATTGAATATCCAGATTTGCCAAAACTGGCAGACATTTCTGTTATCCTGTGAAGCAGCTGAATCATACTAATAATCATGTGGTGCTACCAATTCTTGCAGTGCCACAATGTACTGCAAAGTGTAAAGATCTGATAGCTAGTCCATCCCATGGAAATACTGGCATTTTGCTGACAATCCAATGAAAATGGCAACAGGTGATAGGCCTAATTGTAAGCAGTCTATCCTCTTTCCTGCAGCACTTCTGGGTAAGACCATAGTGAAAGACAATCACTTAACGTACTAGAGGACAGCCAATGCCAGCAATGCTAATTAGTAGCAAGAAGTACCATCACCTCACAGGGGCCCTTGATGATGTTAATCTTAACAGCCAGTCATAGATATATCATATACCTCCACAGATATCATGACTACATACAACAAGCATCATTGAAGCAGTAACACCAGGATAGGAACGCTCCTAATAGCATAGAAAATCCTGGACAGGTTTCTAGGTTTCGTTGTGTAACAATGCTGTATGTCAGAACATGGAGTACATATGCATCCATCTAGAGATAGGTATTATTAAAACGAGAACTATGGGGTCAGTGTTTTTCCCCATAGTTCTCCTTAGGGTAACGGGAGGACACAAACTAGCGTCCTCCCGTTACCCTAAGCTCAGTATACCGCGAGCTACGGCTCGCGGTATACCGAGATGCCGCAGCCGGAGCGGATCCCGACGTAGATGACGGGATCCGCCCAGCTGCGTGAGTGACAGCTGGCTCTGCCTATCTAGAGGCAGAGCCAACTGTACCCGCCCCCTCCCCCGTCCGTTCCGCCAGTCAGCGCTTGCAGATCGGAGCGGGGAGAGGGGAATCCAGCCCCTTCCCCTGTCACGGAGGAGAGCCGTGACAGGATCGAGAGGCGAGCGAACGCCGGTATGCGTTTGCTCACCTCCCAGTCTACTGAGCCGACCTGTGACAGTCTCATTGTCACAGGTCGGCTAGAACTATGAGGTGAGTGAAAAGCACTCACCTCATAGTTCTCCTTTAAAGAGGGTTAAATTCCATAGATGACAGCAGTCATTTAAAGTCTTTCAGCTAGGGTATTTCATAAGAATACAATAGACTCCAATGGGAATGTCTCTCAGGAGGCAGCCCAGCAGTAGGCGCAATTCATTATCAAGGTAAATAGAGCAGTAGACTACAATCCTATATTCCAACAGATATCATAGAATTCCATGTAAAGCAGCTTTCCATTAGCTTAATTTCAAGGATGTGGCATCATAAGATAAGCATTTTTGTATAATCTCATATTAGCTCCAAACGAAAAGGTTCCAAGGCTGTAGATCAATTCTTAAAGCAAATATGGAGGTAAAATCCCCTAAGAAGAGTAATGAGACAAGTTTCTTTTGGAAAAATACACTACCTGGACAAAACAAAGTCACCACCTGGATTTAGCTAAGCAAATAGGTAAGAGCATTCCATTGAATAATAGGTGCAGTGATTAATATGTTTCATCTGGTAAAATGAGGTCAGCTGCCTACCTGAATTTACTGAATGACCAGGTTTTCCATCAATGGATTTTTTTTCCTCCCTGATGGCATTGACATATTCCAAGTTGACAATGCCAGGATTCATGGGGCTCAAATTGTGAAAGAGTGGATCAGGGAGCATTTTCTTCTATCTCACAGAAGTGAGATATTAAATAAAAGGGAAGGGAGGCAAACTGCAACACTTAGCCTCAGTCGATGACCTCTTTTTGTTTAAGATGTATTTGTGCTGAGCTGCTACCAACGGCCAATCAGATCTTGCAGTCTGAGAAGTATAGACAGTATGCACCTTTTTACACATTTCCTTAACAATGGAAGAAGGCAATTTAGCCACAGGAACGTGCAGCTAGAAGAAGTGAAAGTAGTCTGCGCCAGTCCACATTTCCTCTATACAGTGGTGGACAGGGACCTAGCACCTACCACAGCCGCATGGCCTAGAAGTGTCTCCCACTTAAAGCTGAAGAAAACTTTCACAAAACAATAGAGTTTTGTAGAGCTTTGTAAGTAAAGCATTATGGCACCAAATCAAAAGGAAAAAGCAAGCATGGGAGCAGGTTGGCATTACAGAGTCTTTGAATTCATGACCTGCCTCCTAGGAGAAGAGCCAATATCCCACTGTCTTTGTGTCTTCCTGAGTGTTAAAGAAATGTGCTCAATACTTTAAACATTAAATCAAGAGCAATACTGAGCTGTAACTGTGCCATTACAAAGCAAAAGCCAACACTATTTATATGTGCAACAGTGCCTCTCATGTCAGTATTGCATCTATATCACCAGTGCTTCCGCTGATCATTGGTAACAGATGCTGGACCTGCCACAGGGTCCTCCATTATAATAGTGATATCCCGGTCACCTCCTAGTGCCAGCAGTCAGAGTAAAAAAGTGGATTTTAGGAAAGAAAGAGATATATAGAATACAGATATCCTTGTAAGAATGTGATTATACATTACAAGCACTCTGAAAAACATACAGTGATAAAAATGCCATCTACTGTAGACTTAAAGTGACACTGAGCTCAGGAGTTAAACCTTAAAAATGTATTCAAGTACCTTAACTACTAACAAAAATGTATCTTATTTGTGTATCACTCGGCTGTAGATCCTCCAATCATCTCTGAATTGGTGCCGACACTGTTCTTCCTTCTGGAGGGTGGCTAATTTTGTTCCCCATGGTCCCTGTGTGTGTTGTAATGTAGTCACCGCTTCAAGCTCGCTCCTGTGATAGACTACAATCTCACTTTTAGTTTATGAATTTGTAATGAGTTTGTAGTCCATCGGTGGCTACTTTACAACACACACAGGGACAATGGGGAACAGAAGTAACCACCCTCCAGAAAGAAGGACAGTGTCAGCACCAATTCAGAGATGATTTGAGGATCTACAGCCGAGTGATACACAAATAAGACATTTTTGTAAATAATTCAGATACTTAAATGCATTTCTAAGATTTACCTCCTGAGTTTAGTGTCACTTTAGCAGCATATTTGGTTTCTCCAGTTCTGTGTAGTATACAATTACAGAATTGTTTAGACCATTCCCTTTTGCAATCCTATCTTGTTAAAATACTTTTTTATTGCATTTTTTTGAATATTTTGTATTATTGCAAAAAATGTAAACATTTTATTATATTAATAATTATAATAATTTCTGTTACTTGCAATAGAGCAAGAGTATTTCGTTTGTAAACTTTTATAAAATCCTCGCTGCTCTGCTCCTGTAAAAAAGTTGCACGGACATTTAAGACAAATAAAAAAGGCAACCTCATGCACAGAAATTCTCAGCAATGTCCCAAGCTTTCCTGGGTTTGAATTTTGGACTGATGCTGTGATGATACAGTTCAGCACTGTCCATACTTTTTTTTTCCCCCTAAGAGCATAGTTACATTTTTAGGACAAGCTTTCAGGGGTCAACCCCCTTTATCAGTCCAAGCAGTACCAATACACAACAATCTCTTGGGAAAACACACGCACATGTGAGATTGATGTCTTTGCAGACGTTTGCTATTAGTACGGCTTGTACTGAGAAGAAGGGGCAGACCTCTAAAAGCTTGCCTGGAAAATGTAACTGTTAGTGCATAAAAAAGTAACACGGACAGTATTTAGCTGTGTTGTTACAAGTTGCAAGTGTCCTAATACAGCTAAATTCATCTTAAATCTGATTTAAATCCAAAAACTGAATATGGTGGCTGCATTTTTTTAGTCGATTTCCCTGGTGATCTGGCCAGTAAAACACTTCCTGTCTTAGGGTGGCTCCACTCTATGGAGGAGCAATGAAGCCACCCTTAAGGTGGCCATACACTTTACAACCATCGCAAGACCCGAGTCTTGCGATAGTTGTAAAGTAATTTAAAAAACGTACGATCTGCCCATCTTGGACAGGCAGATCGTACTTGCGACCCTGAGGGGCGGGCTTTCAATGACTGCAATGCTGAGCGTGCGCACACCGGCCCGTGTGGAATTGATCTTAAGATCATGCTAAAAACCAGCCGAAAATGGTACGATTCTCGGCTGGTTTTCTAGCATGCTCCTTAGACAAAAGACGTGCGACCGTACAGTAGAAACGGTCGCACGTCTTCATTCACACTGCACGATTGTCGTACGATCGCGGGATTTCCCGCGATTCTCGCACGAGAATCGTGCAGTGTATGGGCACCTTTAGATGGACTAGCAGATTTAGATGGGATTTCACTAAAAAATTAAAGCTGAACTCCAACTAACACTTTTTAATCAGTTATAGCAACCATTGTTTTCTTTTGGGATAAAGGCTTTACATAAATGAATAAAAGCTGACCATTTTAACACAGCCCTGTAGTTTGTCTCAACCCTCTAATTTACACTTTTGCTGGACAGCTTGGACTGGTAGGAAGTTGAAAAATTACAGACTTATTGGACGGATCATGAGGTGAAAATAAAAGGAAAAAAAAGTTAAAAAAGAAAATGAATGCAGATTTAAGAATTGGTAAGCTGCACTATGACATTTTTGCTGTGGGGTTAGATTTGCTTTAAATGGGATGACACAGGCAGACAAGACTGAGCACCACCTAGCACTTTTTCTGAAAGAATCTGTCTGCTGGAATCTATGTAATGTATACTGTATAGATGACCTGTTATATATTGTCTCCCTTTAAACTGAAACTGCACAGGAAAAGTGCTGTTTCAGCGAAATAATTATTTGTCCAGTAATTGCATCATCTACATCCCGAGAGTGACTGCTTAAAGCATGTGATCAACATCAACACTGCCATACACTGTGTGTATGTATGCGAGTCATACACTGAAACAAGGACATTTTTAAGTGCCCTTGTGTTCGCATCTGTTGAAAAAGGGATGCCAACCCAACGGATCTGGTGTGAATGGGGCCTTAAAGTCCAGCACCTCCTGTTCATAGCTGCTATACTGTACTGATCACCTGAATTAACCTAGGGTGTGTCTACCTAACATAATTAGTTTTTGGAGGGCAGGGGTGCCAACAGGGCCACCCATGGCTTACATTTTGAGAAGTGTATGGCCAGCTTTCGTTCAGTGTTTTGACTGGTCTCCTATAGGGTTCAGTTAGACATTTTTAGTGATTTGTTACACCTTCAATATTAGTCACAATTTGACTACAAAATATGCAGATGCATTAAAACAAGTATCGTGCATTGACAGGACACACAAACAACAAAACAATGTTGAAGACAAAGCCAATAAATGAATGTTCTTACCATGATGTTTCCCAATAGTCACATTGGTGTCAGAATGAGAGCGCATGTGACTCTTTTTTACGTGATTTGACAAGTTACCGATTTGCCCCTCTGAGAAGCTGGAGCGGCGTGGCACAGAGAGCAGACATATGCTGGGGATAACTGGTGTAGTCTGAACAGGTGTATCTGGAGGTTGAGAACCAGTGAAGAGATTTGAGCTGCTGCTCTGGGTAGAAGTTCTACGGCTCATGTTTCCGATAGCCAAGTACTCTGGACCATCATCTGCCTCACTCGGTGGGTCCTCAGGGCTACCAGTCTCTCCACTGAGGCTGGTTAAAGTGCTAATACTCATTTCACTAACAGGAGAAAATGGTTCACGAGGTGACAAGTCGTGGATGGCAGGACTGGACTCATTCACAGGCAAAGATAAACTCACTTTATAAACATTATTTTGCTGATCAACCAAGCTGGAGCACAAATCTAAAACAAAATGAAAAAAATACAAATCATGAAATGCTTCAAATAAAAAAAAAATCAAACATATTACATTATGCTGACTTTCACAAATAAGCTGTTTCTCAGTCATTGATTGCATCATGCCATTTCAGCATTTAAATTGATTGTGTTCGCTTACATATAACATGATGAAACAGGCCATAAATGCAATAAACTATGCTTGGGCTTGCTACAGTACTAGATTTTTTTTTCCATTTCTAACAAAGCAGTTACAGGTCACTTGCAAGGTCTATAAAACAGTAACTGTTTGCTGCTACATTCCTCATAACAGAGTCATCTGGTCCACTGACAACAGTAGCCTCACCCTCAATATTCATACCATTGCTGGGAAGAGTGGCTGGAACTTGCAGGCTGCTGTACGAGTTATACATGGAATGGTTTGGACTCCCCGTGTATGGAATGAACGGTGTAACAGGTAGAGCGCTGAGGCTTAAACTCTTCTCGGAAACTGTGAACTCTCTCTTGCCAGCAAGCTAGAAGAGGAAAACATATTACAAAAAAAGTTAACTGCAATATAATACATGTAGCCCTGCTGATTGTGAACACTTATGTGCAAGGCCCTCTCTTCTAGTCACTGACATATGTCTTTGCTATATAACTGTATGTAATTATGACAGGAAATATTTTATTACCAGTAGTTTTACCTTTTTTGAATCACTGGAGCCATACAACATCATGAAAGACTATGACAATGCATAACCAATTCATTCGGACAGTTTTATTATTTATACAAATTAAAAACTACAGTATACAAGTCTGATGTAGTAAGCATAGCTTCAAAAAATGTAATGAATATGAAATAATGAAAGTTTCCGTGTCAGTTAAAGCACTAAGTGAGGAGCTACAAACAGAATAAATATTCACACACACATTTTATTTTCTCTTCTTTCAGGACTTAAGAAGCTCCCCTAGGATCCTTTATCCATAATGTCCCAGTATACACAGCAGATTAGCACATTATGGCAGACTTACTGCCAAACATATCCCCTCCAGCGCCATGCTTCTCCCTCTCTGACGCTTCCATCTTCTCCTCAGTCTTCTTCTGAGTTCGGCATCTTCAGCCTCTTGGTTGGCTGGCCAGCAAGATGAAACTCCTGTGCATGCGCAAAGGAGTTACTTCATCTCGGCATAACAGGTCTGTGCGCAGAGCTCAGCATACAGGAAAAGAAAAATTGCTAAAAGTTAGAAAGCTTTAAATGGCAGAAGAGACTTACAGTCTCTTCTGCCATAAAAAAGTCTACCAATCAGCATTTTATGGGGGGGGGGAAGGGCTTTACTTCAACTTTAAGTATTTGAAATCTTGACTAGATCATATCTGAAAGTCTTAAAGGAGAACTATGAGGCGAGTGCTTTTCACTCACCTCATAGTTCTAGCCGACCTGTGACAATGGGACTGTCACAGGTCGGCTCAGTAGATCGGGAGATGAGCGAACACATACCGGCGTTCGCTCACCTCTCGATCCTGTCACGGCTCTCTGCCGTGACAGGGGAGGGGCTGGATTCCCCCCTCCCTGCTCCTGTACAGCTGGGCAGATAGGCAGAGCCAGCTGTCAGTCACGCAGCTGGGCGGATCCCGGCACAATTGTCGGGATCCGCTTCAGCGTCTCCGCATACCGCGAGCTACAGCTCGCGGTATACTGAGCTTAGGGTGACGGGAGGACGCTAGTTTGTGTCCTCCCGTTACCCTAAGGAGAACTATGGGGAAAGCCCTAACCCCATAGTTCTCCTTTAAATAAACCTACACAATCCAGTGCCTCCTTGTCATCCCCAAATACAGTGTGTTGGGGTAACTTACCACAGATGTGTCTATCTGGGCCAATAACCTGGGGTTGTTCTGCTCCACTGCCTCCAGACACTGGAACATGGCTGTTACATATCGGTCACTCAACAGGAAGGCAGTATCTGGAAAATGGATAAAACACAATGGAAGCATGTGGAAGTAAGCAGAGTCACATTGTTCAAAAAAGGTACCAACAACATTCACAAGTTGCCTAATGCCTTTAAAATGACATTAAACACAATTCACACTGGGGGGAATTTATCAAAACTAAAAGCAGAGAAAATCTGGAGCAGCTGTGCATGGCAACCAATCAGCTTCTCTCTTCAGTTTGTTAAGATTTGAAACTGAAGAGAGATGTTGATTGGTTGCTTCGCACAGCTGCTCCAGATTTTGCCTGCTCCAGTTTTGATAAATTCCCCTCACTGTATTAAACAATACTACAGACTTTTATTGATTTTAGAAATACATACTAGAGTAATTAGTTCAATGTAAATAATGTTATTGTTTTTTTAATGTTCTGCATATATTTTCTAATTTTATAAGTACAAGGAGCCCTATCTGGTTATAAACCAATACATTCTCAGCAGTCTTTAATGACATGACATACCCACTATGCTCCTGGTAAAACAGGGAAAATGTGATATTTTGTCTAGTTTTTAGGTCACATAAGAGAGTATGCGAGTAACATTTTTAAACTCCAAAAAACAACATGACTTGGTAAGGTAATAGACATAGATCTTCACCAGTACACCTCTTCCTTTATTCACATAATGCAACAGGCATCACAAGCTGACATTTTAGGACCTTGTAGTAGAAAAAGAGATCCTGCAAGATCTCGAAATGTCAGCTTCTGATGCTAGTTGCTTTATGTGAATGAAGGAAACAATTATCACTATACCAAGGTGTGCTGGGAAAGATCCGTATTTTCCTATGATTTTATACAGCCATTCACCAATTCTTTACATGAACTGTGGGCAAGCCTGTGTGACAGACACAATACAACTAGAAATGTCCACTAATGAATTATGTGAAGTGTTCATTTTAATAACAAGTCCACTTTAAGGGGAGACTGGCGAAATATCAATTAGGACAGGGTATAGTGTAATACCAATCAAGCCAACTGTTATGGTTTTATTTTCTGTTGTCAAAACACTACAAGCAATCTGACTTGAATTTTAGAAACAGGTTCTTTGACCTTTACTAAACAGAGAAAACATTTGACTCCATGTCTTGTTACATCTGACTATTGTTTGCCCCCTTTCCCAGCAAGGCTGGCCATACACCACACAGTTTTCACCTACAACACAAATGACTGCTACAGACAGTCTGTTAGGGTATAAGTAAAATTGTGTCCAATACGTAAAGCTGAGTTTCAGGGAGATATAAAAAGATGCATATAAAAACACAGTTTTGTATGCATTAAAATACATGCAAATGTGTTTTATTTATTTGTTTTAAATGCAAGGAGTGTAAGTACCCAAATCTGACCTTGTATTAGACTCTCACAACCCCCTGTACGGCAGTTCTCAGGCTGGGGGAAGAAGAAGCAACACAAGGAGCCAATCAGGAGCTAATGCTGCAAGGAACGGAGCATGTTAATAAGAGGTATGTATGTATGTATGTATTTGACATAAGGAAAGGGGAAGTCATTGAGGGGCTATATATTTCCCCTCGCTTTCTATCCTATGTACAGGATTAGCGGAATCCAGACCAGGTTTTCGGGTTGATTTGGGTCCGAATAATCCAGCTCGGGTTTTGTGTCTCTCACATGGATTGTTAATTGCTTAATGATTGATTATCCAGGGGAATTAAAAGGGGAAGGCTGAGGGCTTGTTCACACGATTTTCCGGACCTGATCTGGTGCGGATCTGCAGGCAGTGCGTTTTTGACGTGTTTTTACCGTGTTCCGGACGCTGACAGTTCTTATTTTTATTTTTTTTTAAGCCGTGGGGCTGTCAGTATGCAGATTCTTCCTCTGAGGTCACTTCCACCCTCTCCTAACAACCACTTCCCTTTGTGTATGTAAAGCTGGTGATCAGGCATGTATCACGTTTGCAGGCATGGTGTTGGTGCTGGCTACAGCAATCTGCAGAGAACGAGCTTGCAGGAGGTTGTATAGCATTGGCGCACGCTCCATCAATCGGACAAATCTTTCTATGTCCAGGACCATGTTGTTCATGCCTACTGGTTTTCCCTCTACTGATCCACCACAACCAGGAAATCCAACGATGATGACATCATGAAAAGTGTAGCAAGAATACTTTTTCTTGCTTTTGCTTAGCTGCAGTGCGGTCCATTTTCGGCGCGTTTTCATTGCGTTTGACACGTTCGTGGGTTTCCGGACCGGACAAAATGTGACATGCAGTATTTTGTTTGTCGTGACCTGAACGGACTGCGCACGTGAGAACTGTAGCCCATAAAACACATAGGGTTACATTGGGAGGCATTTTTAGTGCACGGATCTGGTCAGGACAGAATCCGGACGTCATGTGAACAAGCCCTGAAGCATGATGTTGCTCTGGCTTGGGACTCAGAGAGCATTTTGAGAGAGCTACAAGTTGGATGTTTGTGAGTAAAAGGTTGCGGAAAGTACTTTTGTTTTGTGAGGTGGCTGAGATAAGCTCACCACCTAGCAGAGAGAAAACCTGATGGTTTAGTCAGAGCCTGAAAGGCAAGGATTTGTTTTCTGTTTTATTGCAACCTTTTAAATAAAAACTGACTGCAAGTCAGATAAAAGAAGGGCTTTGCTACCTGGACTACCGTTTTCCCAGGGAAGGTGATCCACATTTGAGCTATACCCCACAGTATGTATGTATGTATGTAGTCAGTACCTGAATAGAACTTCTTGGTGTACTGTCTGTTCCCAAGCAAGGCCTTCAGCTGTGCAGAGAGGCTGTGGAACTGGAGACTGTGCTGTAACCACAATTTTCCATTGTCCTCACTAGAACCATCACCGTTCCTCTGACTGGTCTCATAGAAGCACAGGAACTAGACAGAGCAGCACAGAGATAGAATCAAAACCAAAAAAAAAATTACATCACTAAAATCATTACTTACATACCACACAATTATTTTTACAAAAATGTTTGGCTGCCATTTTTTTTTAACCACTTTCCTACCAGCCCACTGTATATAAATGGCCGATAGGTGGAGCAGTTTGTTTTGGATGTACCTGTAAGTCTTTCCATGTTTGCCTGTGTCTAATGCTTGAGAGTGCCAACGAAATAACTATTTAGGACACAAAGGGTAGCCCCACCATCGAATCGGTTAGTTTCAGCCTCTCAGATTCATGAACAAGGGGGCATTTACTTTCATCATAACAAGGCAAACATAGATCTAAGGTGATTAGCTTGGTGTTTGTAGTAAAGGTTAGCAAGTTAGAAAATGAAGACTGATTGGTTAGCGCGGTTAGTTGTGCTCCTTCCTTTTCCCCTTCTCCGTTCAGTAGTAAAGGTTAGCGGCTGGTTGAGGGTATGATGGGGGTTAATTGTTAGGGTATATTTCCACTTTTGCAGTCAAATTTGAGAAACCCCCACTATATGTTTGTTATGTGGTCCCATTCACACAGCATGCCTAAAAATAATTTTAAAAAATAGATTTATTTTTTGGCAATAGTGTCACCAACGCCGCAAATTTCTGCCGATTTCTGTTGAATCAGACGAAATTCATTGCATGTGTACCCAGCTTAACTCTCCGGCTGCTATTGAACCACTCATACCTCCCTGTCCAGCAAGTCTCTACCTGGCTAGACACTGTTAAGCAGTTAGAGCAGTGCAGGTTTCCTACCATATACTATAGAGAAGTGCAATTAAAGATGAATTGCAATACACATACTCATTGCGTTCAAGTTGTAATGCACATTACCAGACACGTTATGGTGTTATTAAGCTGGCCATATACATTTTGAATTTCATTTGAAGATTTGTTTGAAATCCTTCATCAGAGCATTCAATTCTGCCACCACCGAGACAACTAATTTAATTAAAAAATTTTCTCCAAAACCTGCTACCTGAATGAAATCCCTGACTTATTAAACAGGATTTTTGTTTGTGCCTAGCGATGTGTATTACAATATGTGCCATTTTTCCAAACAAAAATCACATTTACTCTTAGAATTTCATTCACTCAGATAAGAAAACCCTTCGATTTTCCTTGACACTACAGTGCAAAATGAACGTCGATTAGACCCTAACTATCACAAAGTCAAACAAATGCTCCCAAAACAACATTTTCTAATGTCCTTCTACAATTCTGCTTATGCATGGCCAGCTTTAGTCTTTATATTCACAAATGTCAGAAAACAGGCAAAACAAATGCCAATAAAAGCCCTAAGTCAGACATCTAAACAAGGTAAATATAGGAGGTTGAGTTCGAGGCTGAGCACATATAGAGAGGAATAAACAGTGAGTATTTGCTCCGTAAATAAAGATTTTATCTTTGGTGAAGACCAATGGAGTGCGGCATTGTTTGGATCGTGTTGCTACAAGAGACGGCATGCTTGCCTGCCTGCACCTGGGGTACAATGGTGGTGGGAAGCTGGTTCCTGAATGCGAGCGATGTTTGCCGTGGATTACATCTAAACAGAATGTGAAGCTTCCCACATTCACAAGCCAGCATTAATGTGTACATACACATACAAGTCTACAGTTGACTGCAGGCCTTATGAGCATGCTCAATGTATATAAAGCACTTCACAAAATGCAGCTTGTCTATAGAGAATGCTGTATCAAATAATACATACCGTTAAATAAAAAAACAAAAACACTTTTGGACGGGAACTTATTGACTTACACAGCCAGGCGATCTGCAGCATAAAGAACGCACTACAATAATGACTGCAGATATGAAGCCTGACCAGGAAGTTATTTGCATAGCACTACTTCCGTCGTGAATTATGAAAACATTTGCTTTATTCAACCTCTTGTGGTCTGGAAGAAAAATAGAACATAAAATCATTGAAAAAAATATTAGAAGACTTTATTAGCTCAGCCTGGAAACAAAAAAAACCCAACCAAAGCTTTCCACAAGTCCAGCAGCATGCAGAAGCTGTCACTATCTGTGAGTCACCATCAGCAGCTCAGCCCAGGTGATGAGGGTAGGAGATTGTGAAACACAATGATTCAATAAAGAAGCGAGCACGCTCCACCGAAAGAACATTTTAGCAATCTGTTTAGGTGTGGTTTCAAGCTCCGAGTGTAACATACTGCCTAATACAGCGTAATGCAGCATGAAATGGAACTATATTTAGCATAGGAGTCAGAAGCTTCTATGTTTACCTCTGGGCTAATTAGTAAATGATTAAATGTATTTTTTTTAAATGCAAGCAGTGCAAGTACCCGATTTTGACCCGGCATCAGCCTTCTTTTGAAGTCCCTTTACAGCAGGGCTGGAGGGTGAGTGGAAGCAGCAATCATGTGCTGACAAGAGGAGAAAGCAATGACACAGATGAGCTCATCACTGCACTGCTTCTCCTTTCACTGTCCAGACACAGGCTGGGGTGGGTCCAGATGACCTGGGCCCAAAAGGAAGTAGGTTGATTGATGCTGCCCATCAGACTGAGGACTGGCAGAAAAAAAAAAAAATCCGGGGGAAATCTCTGAATTAAAAAGATGAATGTTGCAACAAACGATTGTTAAGTGATTTTATCATTAAACTGTATTTATTTTTATCTTCTTGTAATTTATAACTGAGTCTTTAAAGTGCCCTGATTTATAATAGTGGGAGTTATGCATGGAGCAAAGCACGGTGACATTAAACCCAGGGAGCTAGAGCCAGCTTCAAGCCACTTTCTTCAAAATCTGCTCTTCTACAAGGAGACATTGCCAGAGATTACCTGCTCCACCTGAGGTGATGATCCAGGATGCAGTCGCTGACTGCTCTTCACAAAGTTCCAGTAGTCATGCTCCTTATAGACCTTAAAAGGAGATTTTCAGAAAATGAGCCAAATTAGCTTTATGACCTTTTTAGAGCTACCCACGTATATCAAAAATGTTTCAGACAACAGATTCTGACACAGTTGTATGACAATATGACCGTGTATGGGCACTTAAGAACAATAACCACCATCAGAACTTGACTAGAGGGTTCAGAATTAAAGTGACACTAAACTCAGCAGTTAAAGTACTTGAATGCATATAAACTATATTGCCAAAAGTATTGGGACACCCATCCAAATCATAGGATTCAGGTGTTTCAATCACCGCCATGGCCACAGGTGTATAACATCGATCACCTAGGCATGCAGACGCTTCTACAAACATTTGTGAAAGAATGTGTCGCTCTCAGGAGCTCAGTCAATTCAAGCGTGGTACCGTGATAGGTTGCCACCTGTGCAATAAGTCCATCCGTGACATTTCCTTCCTACTAAATATTCCACGGTCAAATGTTAGTGGTATTAGAACAAAGTGGAAGCAACTGGGAACAATAGCAACTGCACAGTGAAGTGCACAGAAGTTGTCAACTGTCTGCAATATCAATAGCTACAGACCTCCAAACTTTGGGTGGCCTTCAGATTGGCACAACAACAGTGCGTAGAGAGCTTCATGGAATGGGTTTCCATGGCCGAGGAACTGCATCCAGGCCTTACATCACCAAGTGCAATGCAAAGCGTCAGATGCAGTGGTGTAAAGCACACCGCCACTGCACACTAGAGAAGTGGAGACGTGTTCTCTGGAGTGACTAATTACGCTTCTCTGTCTGGCAATCCGATGGACGTGTCTGGGTTTGGCTGTTGCCATGAGAACTGTACTTGCGTGACTGCATTGTGCCAAGTGTAAAGTTTGGTGGAGTGGGGGTTATGGTGTGGGGTTGTTTTTCAGGTGTTGGGCTTGGCCCCTTCGTTCCAGTGAAGGGAACTCTTAAGGCATCAGCATACCAAGACATTTTGGACAATTTCATGCTCCCAACTTTGTGGGTGACTGCACCCCAGTATACAAAGCAAGGTCCATAAAGAATTGGATGAGCGAGTTTGGGGTGGAGGAACTTGACTGCCCTGCACAGAGTCCTGACCTCAACCCGATAGAAGACCTTTGGGATGAATTAAAGCGGAGACTGCGATCCTGGCCTTCTCGTCCAACATCAGTACCTGACATGCGCTTCTGGAAGAATGGTCAAACATTCCCATAGACACACTCCTAAACCTTGTGGACACCTTCCCAGAAGAGTTGAAGCTGTTATAGCTGCAAAGGGTGGGCCAACTCAATATTGAACCCTACAGACTAAGATGGGGATGCCACTAAAGTTCCTGTGCATGTAAAGGCAGGCGTCCCAATACTTTTGCCAATATATTGGATTTAACTACAGGTATTCCTCACTTAATGACCGAGTTCCGTTCCTACGACCAGGTCTTTAAACGAATTGGTCGCACTGACGCGCAAGGTCAGAGGTCGATCGGAGGTCGGTCATAAGTGCGAGTGGTCGCAAAGCAGGTAAGCGAGGAATGTCTGTATTTACAAAAATGTATCTTGTTTGTGTATCACTCGGCTGTAGATCCTCAAATCATCTCTAAATTGGTGCAGACACTGTCCTTCCTTCTGGAGGGTGGCTACTTTTGTACTGCTCCAAGCTCACTGCCGTGATGGACTACAATCTCAATACAAATTAGTAAACGAAACATGAGACTGAAGTCCATTGGAGTGGTGGCTACTTTACAACACACACAGGGACCATGGAGAACAAAAGTAGCCACCCTCCAGAAGGAAGGACAGTGTCGGCACCAATTCAGAAATGATTTGATAATCTACAACCGAGTGATACACAAATAAGATACATTTTTGTTAATAGTTAGGGTACTTGAATGCATTTTTAAGATTTAACTCCTGAGTTTAGTGTCACTTTAACCAGCTTTTTAAAACCCAAGGACTGCTTTTTATTTAACTACAGAAGCTGAAATGCATAGGGACTTTTTTGGGGGAAAACGAATGTGAAGATGGACTAACCCTTTAAGCCCTGGGGTTTATGTACCTTTTCTCTAAAAAACAATTAAAAATACTTGTGGCAGTGCCAGATTCTAGTAATAATCTGCATGTCTGACTTAAAGTGTATTTCCGCTTTTGCAGTCAATCCTGAGAAAACCCCACTATATCTCTATATCTTTGTTATGTGTATTTATGTTTTGTTGCAGTAAGCAAGATGGCTGATTCCAGGTTTTTCTGAGCACCTTCACAGTGATCTGTCCTTATAAAAGACTGAAATTTGAGGATTGTGTTTCTCTCATTAACTCCACTAACATACAATGGAGAAGACCCCCACACCTAGAAACGTTAGCCCTTAAGAAGACAAGAAACCCTAACCCAACTAAAAACTTTTTAAACTGCAAGCAGCATTTTTTATTTTATTTGTAGCTTATGCTAGGTGAATGGGAACATGTAACAAATATAAACGAAGTGTGATCCCAATTTGGCTGCAAAAGTGGAAATACACTTTAAGCTGCCTGTCCTATAAATATAGCCTATCACTGAAAAGTAAAGCCGAGATGATCTGAGCTCTTTACTATTGCTATTTTCGGAATAGTTCTTACCAGTAACGTCTATGTAAAAGGATATGAGCAAACTCTTTTCACGCGTGTCATAAAGATAACAGCCTTAGTTAAAACTGTAACCTATATGTTACTAAGCAATCATGGCAGAGACACATTGGTGAAAGTGTAATCTATTACCTGATCGCAGATGAGGCCGTGCTGGAGAATACTGCTCATATCTCTACAAAGTCTCTGCAGTCCACCATATTTTGACCATACATTGCGGCTGTTTCCAGACACCAGCCCTTCCACCGTTGTTTTCAGATTATCCAGAAGTCTCCAGTGTTCATCCCTGCTGTGTTCCAAACAAAGATGCGTTAAGGACAGAGGAAATGGACAAAGCTAAACAGGAAAGTATGACAGGTCTTGATTTTGCTGACAATGCCCGTGTGTTTGACAGGTCAGCAGCAGTATTCTCTCAACCACAGTGAATCATTTGTTCTTATACCACAGTCTCAGAAGCTGCAATTATACTTCAAGGGTTTCTAAGGAGATGGCTCTCTGGATGACACGGACAGGTGTAGATAGAAGGAATAGAAAATAAAAGCTCCATTTGCAAGATTATCCCTGTGATTCTGTACGATTGACATCGTTTCCTCCCCCTGACTTCTCCATTGAGATCAATAACACAATTATCAGTCCTTCAACACATGCCAGGGTGCTAGGTGTAATCCTGGACTCTGACCTCTCCTTCAGGCCCCACATGCAATCACGCACCAAATCTTGCCATCTTGATCTCCATAACATTTCCAAACATCGTCCTTTCTTAACAAATGACACCACAAAGCTATTCATTCACTCTTTTGTCATATCGCGCCTTGACTACTGAAACTCCCTCCTTGTTGGCCTACCTCTACACAGGCTATTCCCCCTCCAGTCTATCATGAATGCAGCTGCCAGACTCATCCACCTCACCAACCACCACCCATCTCTGCCAATCCCTTTACTGGCTTACAATAGCGCAACACAAAATTCAAAATACTAACAGCAACATGCAAAGCCATCCACAACTCTGCCCCCAGCTACATCTCCAACCTCATCTCAAAATATCACCCAAACCGTCTCCTCTCGGCTCCTCCTAAGACCTCCTGCTCTCTGGCTTCCTCATCACCTCCCATGCTCGCCTCTAGGACTTCTGCAGAGCCTCTCCCATCCTCTGAACTCCCTACCCCAATCTGTCCAGCTATCTACTACTCTGTCTGCCTTTAGGAGACTCCTAAAAATTCACCTCTTCAGTAAAACCCATTCTACCTCCTCTTAAAAACTGTACATCTACTCCTTCAATCTGATCATCCCTCACAGGTATTACTTCCGGGGTCACTAGCCCCTCCTTGTAGACTGTAAGCTCTCACAAGCTAGGTCGTTTTAATCCTTTTGTATGGTATTGTAATTGTACTGCCTCCTCTTAAATTGTAAAGCGCTACGCAAACTGTTGGCACTATATAAATCCTGTATAATAATAAGCAAATGGTCAAGGATAAGAAAGGAAAAATGTTAGAGTGTCACTCCCGGAACTGTCTATTTACATCTTGGAGACATGGCGGAAAGGCCAGAACTTTTGTCAGTATCCCATCTACTGCCAGGATCATGGAGGTGAGGGGAGTTTCCCAATGGGAAGAAATACAACTATATAAATCTTAATGAGGTTTGCAGAGGTTTTTATTACAGTCTGTCCCCATGTAGGAGAGATTTCCTTTTACTTCCTGTTTCAGTGACCACTGGAGGGAAGGTAAATGCTCTCCACCAGGAAGTAGACAGCAATACAGACCCAGCCTTTAAGCACTCTATCCAAAACAAACATTCGGTGTTTGGAATTTCAAGGCAGTTGGGGCAGGTGAGGAATGCGTCTGCTGCAACCGAATGGACCTTGAAAGGGGGGGGGGGGGGCGTGCCACGGTTTTGAACGGGCTCACAGTTTTGAGCAGGCTTAAATGAATTCAGGCGAACTGGGTTCACACCGAACCCCAGCTCATCGCTATTGCTGACCTCCTCTAGCCACATGGTGACAACAGTGGAACATACCTGTGCAACATGCGTCACATAGGCAACTTATAGTTTTCATTGGAAGAATGCGACATAGGAGGACAATGCAGGAGGACAACTGAGAGACATGGAGAAACTGTTGTCACCTCATAACAGCAGCTGTCTGCACATGAACTTGGAATGATGAACGGGTATTGTCCTAATAAAAGCTGCTAATTTACAAATGTTAAATGATTTCTGAAATGACTTTACAGGTCAAAGCTTTTATGAATTTTAGTGATTGAGTTTACATCTACTTGAATGCGCAGAGAAGTATAGCTCTGTGTCATTTTCTGCCCTCCACTTTTCCTGTTACCCTTTATACGTGAAATACAAGAGAGAGATCAAGAAAAGGACAGCGTCAATATTCATGTGAAGTACTGGCGTCTGATCCAGCATTGGACATATGCCATTTTTATGAATAGCGTCACGGCTTTGTAAATTATAATTAGGTAACACAGAAACAAGGCCATAGGTTACTGATAATTTATCTGTGACATTACTCAAATACCTTCTTCATATTAGAACACAGGCTGCAACACTCCTGCCATTACAGTATATGTAAATAAATCTAGTCACACTTCCAGTCATTTAAAGGAGAACTATGAGTGCTTTTCACTCCTCATAGTTCTAGCCGACCTGTGACAATGAGACTGTCATAGGTCGGCTCAGCAGATCGGGAGGTGAGCGAACACATACCGGCGTTCCCTCACCTCTCGATCCTGTCACGGCTTTCTGCCGTGACAGGGGAGGGGCTGGATTCCCCCCCTTCCCGCTCCGATCTGCAGCTGGGCGGATCCCGGCACAATTGTCGGGATCCGCTTCAGCTGCGGCGTCTCAGTATACCGCAAGCTGTAGCTCGCGGTATACTGAGCCTAGGGTGACGGGAGGATGCTAGTTTGTGTCCTCCCGTTACCCTAAGGAGAACTATGGGAAAAAGCCTTAACCCCATAGTTCTCCTTTAAAACAGACAGAAAAACTGCTAGAAAGTGGAGTTTATCAGCAAAGGAGACATGCAAAGTCTCTTCTGCCAAACAACAGCTGCTTCTCACTTCTAGCAGTTTTGTTTCATATTCCTTGTATACACTATAGATGCAGTGCACTACCCCAGGTCCCCGGATCTGTAATATGCCAGGAATGGAGGCGGGTGCCGAGAATGATGTAACTCCTATGTGCATGCGCAGGAGCTATGGTCATCAGAGGCAGCCCGATGATCGAAAAAAAAGACAGGGACCCAGAAGAAACAGAGAAAGAGATGGCGGCGATGGACGGGGAGCAACGACTGACAATCCAGACTGTCAGCAGCACTGGAGGAGAGCACACTTGCAGGGTAGCATAATGTGCAATAATGCACATTATGGCAAATGTTTAGCCTTAGGTTTTACAACTTTACTTCTGCTTTAAGGGCTTGTTCACACTATGTCCAGACCAGATGCAGACCCGCAAAAAGTTTCCCAGCACACTCACCAGCCAAAAAAAACTTGTCTACCACTAAGGTTAAAAAAACAGAGGTTGAGATACACGTCTTCTGCAGAAAATGTGAAAGCCGCACAGACTTGTCAAGGCACCTCTATATAGTGCGGTCCTAACTCTAACCTATGAGAGTCTCCATCTTGGAGCACATGCAGCAAAAGACAAAATTGGGTGCAGGTTTGCCAGGAGGCAGCCCAACCTCCCTTTAATGATGCGGACCAGAACGCTTTTTGCCCACACCTAAAATGCATCCCAATGTATTCCTATGGCATTTCTGGGTTCTGTTCACACCAGTGCAGTCTGTTTCGTTGCGGGGAAAGGGGAAAACAAAATGCTGCATGCACTATTTTTTCTGCACTGGAACTCCCCAAAATGCATGTAAACACATTAAAAACACATGCAAAAGGCTCTGGATGGCACCTGAAAGCCCATTTTAAGCAGAATACGTTGCAAACGCATCAAAAACACATTGCACCACTTTTGCAGATCTGATCCGGAAGTAGTGTGAACAAGCCCTAACAATCGGCATAAAACGCTGATGATACATTAGATCCCAAGCAATGCATGGTCAAATACTTGATCATTTGCCATCTTTATATCATACCGGTACTGGCGGACGGAATGTGGATACCCTTGGGCTTGATAGATGCAAGCTGATAGATCAACATGGAGACTAGAAAACATCCACTGGCAACCACAGTGTCCTGCACAGGGCTAGCTGATGAGAGTAGGGTACACCAAAAAGTCCAGCGGTTCCACTGCAGCCAGAACCAGGATTAACCACGTACAATTTGGGGGGGGGGGGGGGGGTTTTTTTCAACCTTCGGC